ATCATAAATCAATTTTTTGCCTATGAGTTAAATAACACTCAATTACTTTTACAATAATTCAAAATTACGCTATAAAAATTACTTTATTTATTTACATTTCTACTATAATTTTTTATTTTCATACAATATGCTAATCTTAAACGTTGTGCATACAAATTATAATATCCATATGAGAATTTAAATTAAATTATTACTTTTACAAAATCAATCCCGACGTATTTAGAGAAAAAAGAATTATAAAATTAATCTTTGCGTGTAATCTAGGTAAGACTTGATGTTTTAAGAATAGTTCATTGGTAGGCAGGTTTCCATAAAATACAGAGTTTGACAGTCGATACAAATTACACTTTCACGATAGAATCCTTAAGCATTTAACTCTCTTTAAACCAGTATGTTGTTGTGACAAATCGCAATGGCTTCTGTGGAGAAATGTAAGATTAATAATTTATAATTATTTTTTTTATTAAGTTGTATTTTAATGCAGTTCAAAATAACAAGAAATTACCTAACTCACGATTTCTGTTCACGAAAAGCGTACTAAAAAATTTTTTTAGTTAATTTATTCAATATGAGGGTCACTATTTATATGTATATTAAGCCTAATAATGAAAAAAATACTAACTTGTTGAAAATTGCTCTATTGTTTCTTGAGATCTTCTCCTTAATGATTAATACACTTTTACATGTATTCAAACCATTTGTCAAAGCATTTTTTCCATTCTTCTTCAGACACCCCAAAAATTGGTTTTTAAATGCAACAAATGGCTTCTTACGACGACAAAAATCATTGTCCACGTAATTTATTTTCCATGTTCGGGAACAAGAAGAAGTCATTGGGTGCCAAATCAGAAAAGGTCACATACCATTCGGAATTGACCGAATGTTCTTGTTTTTGTATTGGTATAGTTGCCACATGACCAGTTTTTCCGAAAAAACAAGACATTTGTTTCGAAGTGCTTCGAGGGCGAACAACTTATGTTGAATTTGGTTCATCTTAAAACAACCATACATTCGAGTGCTGTTTATGTTCTCGCTCCCTTATTTAGCCACTATAAATAACGATGATAATCTATCCAAGAAAATTAAAATCGGACCTATTTTACAGAATATTTCTTACTTTTAAATAACTGTAAAGTTCTTTACCATTTAAAGGTTAACCCTATTGTGCGTTTATATTTATTCTGATTATTCCGATCATTGCACAAAAAACAGTATAAATTGACGATCTAACATTTTTCAGTGTTTTGGTAATAGAAAATTGTGTCAATAAATAATAATAAATAATGTATACAAATAAAAAATTAATATATCTTAAAAGATAACATATACGAATTTTAAAAATAAACATGATCGGCATTATAACTATATCGCTTTCATAAGTATAAAGCAAATTGTTAAAGAGCAAAACAGAAGAACCTGCTACTGTATTGTGTTACCAGTCTATCTTTAGTATGTTCAGTATATGCCTTTTGGACTTTCAAGCCACTACGGAGTGCATGCTTATTCCCGTGTTTACAGTATAATTACTTTTTTTCTTATGGTTATATTCTCTTTTCATAAAACATTAGAGTATATGAATTTTTTTATTCACATTTTTTTTTAAATTAAATCGAGTTATTATTATGCTTATAATTTCTGAATATGTTTAAATAAGCATAATTAATGTGATATTAATAATAATAGTCTACAATCGTTCATTGCCATATAAGGTACGTTCAAATTAAATTAATGATAGAAATAATAGAAAGTACAATCACACACGGTTATATCGTAGAATAAAGCCAAAGAGAACAATAAAAAAACACAACACAAGAAAGAGTTAAAATATTACCAGCCTTTTTAGTTTGCTATCAAAATTTTTACTTTAAAAATCTGAGTAAAAATGGGAAAAAATGTAATATTTTGTATAATCATATATATAAATATAAACTCAATAACAAGTTTCACAATCAAGCCACTGAAATAGCCACCTATATATGTGTACTTACCTGAGACATTACCAAATAAAAACTACATAAATTATAAACCCTAATATAGCTATAGGGTTGGGTAAAAACTATTCGGCATTTTCAAGTCATGTCTCCTGTTTTGAATCATCTTTTTATCCTTACAAAACCTGTACTCCTGTTTTCTATAGTCCTTTTTCTAGATCAATTTATTTTTAAACTTAACACGCTATACTTCCAAATTATTCTTTTAAGTGGAAAAATACTATTAGAACAACATTTTTGCAAAATTATTTCTTTATATTACAAACAAATGTTTAAATACAATTGCTGACTAAACACAGGACGCCAACATTCTATATGTGCTTTTAATATTATATATTAAACTCTTTACTTCATCCAATCAATATACTTAAAGAATCTAAAATTTTTGTTATATCATGACCCAATTTCCTGCAGTCGTCTTTTGGAGTATACAAAAAATGTTTATGAAAAAATAAAATATTAATAACCGAGAAATGATTTTAAAAGATCAACAGAGGTTTAAAATAATTGAAGCTTTCGAAAAAATATTTAAAATTGTTCAAATAATCAGAATCCATATCAGTAGATAGGAAGTATTATACTAAAAAAGATGTTTAATGGTTTAAAAAATTATAAATAATTTTAGTAATTTAACTGAGTCGTTTTGAGATAATGAGTTTTTTTTTATTGCATATTTTTTTGGGCTAAAGACTCAATATTTATAACAGCTGATATAAAATTTTGTCTACGTTTACAACAAAAATCAAAATCCAACTAAATTCTTACAATTTCTCTCAACTTCGTCGCCAGAAATAGAATGCACTGTTTGTCATAAATTTAAACTGATCAGATTATGATGTTTTTATATATCTCTTTGTACCGATCTGTTACCTCGTAAGTCCTCAAAGTTGTTTTAAGGCTTTTGAAATAGATTTTAAATCCGAGTAAACACCTTAAAAATGACAATAGCTTTAAAATTATTTTTTATATTTGCGTGTAAACACTTTTTAAATGACTTTTCAAAATTTAATTCACAAATTCCAATATTATATATAATTAAACTTATGCTTTTTATGTATTTCGTTAAATAAATACGATGATATGCTTATTATTATTATTACGCGATTTAACACGATTAGTTTTACATGAAATCACTTTTATTTACTTGTTGCCCTACAATTCACTCTTATTTAACTACAAAAGATGGAATGAAGTACGGACAATGAAGTAATAAAGGACGGACAGACAGATTACAACGTACATAATAATTAAAGCTAATATACATATGGAAATGTATATTAGCAACATTATGATTAATTGTATAACACTAGTTATTATTATTAAAACTTACTTTATCTATGATAGTTGTATATGAAATTTATAATAAAACTTTTAAAATATTTTTTCAAATTTTTTTTAACAAGATATTTATCATCATTGTTACTAAGGGTTTCACGTATTTAATAAAATGGTAATTCATAAACTACTTATATTGAATACTTTTTAGTTTCAATATAACTTAATTTTTGCGAACCCAATTAATGTTCTTACCCATTTTATAATGTTTCATAAAAAAACTCAACTCTTAATGAGAAATATCAAACAGTTTTCTCAATAAACACTACACATATGTATGCGTAGTTAATTAAAGCGTGTAAAAAACGCAAAAGATTAAATACTTTGGAATGACGTAATATACTTTAAATTTCATATGTTCAAAATAAATAAAAACTTTTTAACTTTGTTTCTTTTAACTTTCTTTCTTTAACTTTTTCTTTCAGAGTAGCAAAAAAATACTCACAACTGACGAAAGAAAACATGTGAAGCAACAACAATGCTTTTAAAATCTTCAGAGTTAGGTAATATATATACTCGAAAAAATTTTACATCTTAATTTTCAAGGCAACCAAATTCAAAAATCAATCTATTCTGAATGTGCACTGGAAACATGTTGCAAAATTCCAACCAACCGTTGAAATCATATGAGCATTTTATTTACTAATAAATTCAAGTACATAAATAAAGAAATTAATTTAAATGTATAAAATAAAAATGCGTACCATTGTCTTTCTAATATTCATTTTATTTAATTTTAATTAATTAATTTTTTGTCTACAATTTTTATATATCATATTGTACACAACACAACAAGAAACATATGTCAGAAAAAAGCATTTAACATATTTTAAAATGAATGGCAATTTATTTCAATCAGACGTAATGAAGTTTTTTTAAAATTCTGAAAGAAAAAATTACGGCTCTTATTATTTTAATACTACGTTTGATTTTTTTTAATATCTTTTTATATATTATTATAATATATATTTCTTTCATTCTCATATATACTTGTGCTTTTAAAATTTTTATACGATTATTGTTATTATTATTAACATTTTTTTTTTAAAATTCTACATAACACCATCGCAATAGAAGTTTTCATATATTTTATTAAAAATATTATTACATATTTATTCTTATATGTATAATATTAAAACAATAATTTCAAGAACAATAATTCTATATATAATTTTGTATTATATATTCAATTATTAAATTATATTAACAAGAATTAATACGTAATTCACGTTTTTGGTTGATTGATAAAAATTACAACCTTTTTCCACGACTTCTTCACTGAACACCCGCTATGACAAGACAACTAGAAAACTTTACGTGGCAAATGTCAAATAAACTGAGAAAAATCGAAAAAAAGAGCTGATTTGAGTGAAGGGGAATGAATGCTCTGACGTGGAAGTGGCATTTTCTTATTAATTCTATTTGTGCGTGTAAAAAAATTTAATGAAGTATTTATAATATATTTTTTGCAAACAACAGACGTGAAAAAGATTTTGCTTATATTTTTTGTGTTTCCATTTTTAATTTCTAAACCAACGTATATATTTTATTGTATGTTAGTGAATAAAATCGTTATTAAAAAAGTTAATCCGAATTTCTACATTACCTAAAGAGAAAAACAGCTTGTTTTCGTGCAATTAATAATATCATTTGTGTTTATATATCTTTTTTGTATTATTATTATTATTATTTGTACATTAAAAATTTAACGTAATTGTAAATAAAAGAATTTCTACAAAAAAGTAAACAGTACAAGAATAATTTCAATTATGAATCCAAATGCTTTTGGACCGCCATCAGTGCAGCAGCAGCAACAACAACAGCAGCAATATCCACCAAACTGGCAGCCCCAACAACAACCACCACCAGCACAAATAGGATTGCCTCCTAGTGCGGCTCCTCCAACAACAATGCAAGCAATTAATCCTGGTATACCACCGCCGACAATATCACAACCGCAAGGCGGCATGCTCAATGGAAATTATCAACAGCAGGTGATGATAAAATAATACATATGGGAAAATATGTTAGAAGAAGAATAAAGTGCTATGTAGTAAAACTTTGTAAAATTTTGTATTGCTATTTACACTCAATAGAGTTACAAATATTTCATTGTTATAAACGCAAATGTTGTACGTGTTATTATGACGTACATACGCTACCAATATTATTGGTAACAAACATTTTAATATAACAAATTATCAGAAAGTTTTGCAAATGTTTTTTAATTTAATATGCATAAGTATATTTCTAGCCTTTAACATGCAAGTATTTTTCCAAAATGATAAAATACCTTAAGCTCTTAAATGTGGTCACAAAGACACTTGATCGTATCAAATAGCATGCCTAGCTTCTGCTTTCATATCACTTGTTTTTATTTCCACTTTATCAAAGGTGTTTTGAACTAAAATACCAGATACCAGAATTACTAAACACACTTTAGAACTCATTTTCTGAGAACTGTTAGTTCATTTACAGTTTCCAGATTGAAATCGATCAATATTGTGCCGTTTGAATATTTAAATGGTGCTGAAAATAACTCATCCTTAGCATTATTTCTCATGCTAACATATGTAGATTAAATTTCTGTTTTCTTATCTGCTATTAAAATTTTTAAATTTTATTTTATTATTTTTAAAATAAGCAGTTTTCATGTCTCAGTAATTAGTTACATACTCTTTCAATCCAAGGTATATTAATTGGAATTTTTAATTATGGTTTGAGTTTGTCTTGTCATCAAAAACAGCTTTGTTAACTTTTCAAGTATTTTAATTGCTACTTTGTTCATATAAGTTATGTTTTATATATATCTGTTCAGATTAAATCTACATACATAGACACAGCATTCAAGTAGATGCATTCTGTCTGCAAATAGTGCAGTATTTTACAGCCTCGTTTTAATTTATTGATACTATGTTTGTTTATATATGCTTACAATGATATAAATGTAAAACAATGTTCTGCATATAATTATGAGAAAAATATACATATGTGTATATACACATAAAAATTATTTCTAAAATTATTCTCATAATATAGAAATTTTCTCGTATAAGTGCTTCATATAAATAAACACAAATAAGCATTGTTTTAATAATCAATTTTCTGTACGATTATTCTTTATCTAGTATATAATTATTAAACTATGTACTTCACTTTTTTAACTTATTTGCATAGATTAAAAATTATGTTAATAATTAGCAGTGAGTTAACCGTTGTATTATCCTATAATGAAATTTTAAACGAATTATTTGGCATCAGTCTTTTACAAAGGATAAACAAACATATTAACTACGTTAAAAAAAAAGAATATACAAAATACATACTGTATTATATATAAGACAAATAAAAAACTCATTCAGAACTAAAATGCTAAAAGTTAGACCTTTTATAATCTCTCAAAATTGAATTATGTTTCGAGCATCATGTTATATATAACCATTTAAGATTTTAAGATAATAAAAGTTCATAATTATCTTATTATCTCGATAATAAGATCGAGATAATTACACCACCTCGATCTCTACTGTTTTGCACCAAATCTACAGTCAAGTGCCAAGTTCACTGTGCAGCAGTTAGTGTATGTTTTGGTTTGATTGCCGAGCTGAACTCCTTGTGGGTTTCAACGTTGACTGTTAAAAGTGGTTAATTTTCTCACTGTAACATACATTGGTAAGAAAATATTGTATATTATCTAGCGTTATCATTATATCAGTGACACCTGATATATGGTGTTAATATAGTGTAAAGTCATACACTATAAAACTAAACATTAAAGTTATTAATGTTTCTAAAATAATTGGATTATCTATGGCAGGGCTGTCTAGACTGGATGCGATCACAAGTCAATGCAAATCACTGCACACATTAGAGACCCGCAGAAACAAATACATACGTTCATAGTTGTTTTCGGCAAAAATAAAAATACGGTCATAAAAATCAATTCTTTTTAATTTATTAATATAAATTCATATATACCGTACATATAACATGAAAATAAAATAATATAGTTTTACCAGTACACCAAAAGTAAATTTGAGTAATTGTGGTAGATTAAAAACGGGCCGCACAAACGTTAGGACCGGGTCACGCTTTGGACAGCGCTGATCTATAGTTTTATGAACAATAAATAATATTTATGCATCCAACAACATTAATTTTAATGAAATCGTAAATAACTCTATATATTGCCAAAATCCTTTGTGTATTATATTCTTTTACTGGACTATAAAAACGACAAAAAAATATTTTAAGTTTTTAATTTAAATAAATCAGCATAAAAAAGTTTTTTATTCATTAAATATTGTACTAAATCATGAACGGGCTGAAGTATGACACACTTACATACTTCTATAAATAATTGGGGTCAATATTATGTTAAAACTTTATCTTCATAACAAGCAAAATAAAACTCACATAATTAATAAAAAAAAAAAAATATGTATATATATTATTTTCAGCTATAAGTCACCTTTTTTAAAAAAATAAAATATACGACTACGTCGAGAAACAAATTCAAAATTAAATATATATATTATATATTTCCAATAAATAGTACCCATCTGTAATCTTATTTGACCTTTTCTAACAAGATTATTATTTAATATAACTTCAGATATATATTTTTTTAGAAAGCTGCATAAAATAATGTAAGACATAATTTCTGTTGATTAGTTTATATAAGAATCTTACACTATACATATATATAAATTTTGATAAATTTGTAAATAAATATTGTTAATAACAAATATAAGGTTTTCTGATTAAATCTTAAAAAATTTTATATGATTTTTTTTTTAAATGTTTTTTAAAAAATTCCAATAAGAAAAATATAACTGATTTTTCTTAAATTTTTTTAAAATTAATAGATCCTCATTAATAACGAAAACATTCATTCACAAATATTTCTTTAATATTGTTTCTTTATCTCTCAACATCTGATCATTGTATAAATTTATTTAAATTTATACTAAATTCTATATTCAATTTTCAAAGGCTGTACCACATTTCGAATTGAACTAGAAAATAATTACCAAATGATAAGAACCATTCAAGTAAGAATGTTTTAAATAATAAGTAGGGTCAATGTCTTTCAATTGGTACAGAGCTTGAAGTATACATACAACACACTGAAATGATAACATACATAAAAAAATCAAATGAGTAAATGAATTCTTTAAAAAATATTTTAATAAAAAAATTTATAAAGCAACATTTCTAATGGCAAAAGAATCTATTAGTTGAATTAGCATTTAATGAATTGATATGACATGTTATCGGACATATTATTAAAATTCACAATATTACCTAATTATTATATTATTGTTACAAAATTATTATTACAAATTATTTCTTTGTTTACAGCTATCCACATCCATGGGTGGACTAACAGTGAACCCATTAAAACAACAGCAACAATTAATTTCATCACCAGGGAACGTATCTTTCTCAAATGCCAATCCAATTACTTCACCACAAATACAAAGCGGGCCACCACTGACACAAACAAATACACAATTACCAAACGGTCCGCCGGCACAACAACAACAACATTTTCCTCCAAATCTGCAGCCACCTCAACAACCGCAGCAGCAAATGCAACCAACAGTTTTGTCGGGTCCACCAAGTAATAATAATAATTATGGCGCAGCTGCATTTGCTAACGGTCAAAATATAAAATCACCAACTCCATCCATGTATCCTCCAACGCAAATAGGAGGACCACAAATAGGAACACCGGCAATAGGGCAAGCAATACCAGGTGGTCCAAATCAAATGACCATAAATAGCGCAAACTTGCCGGGTTTGCCTCATATGCCGCCACCAAAACCAACGGTATTAATACAAGTTATATATATAAATAAAAAATTGCTTAGTTAATTAAATAAAATTAAATAAATTGTTTAAATCGAACGCAAACTTCGTTAAGGACTTCTAATTTTTGGTTTTCTAATTTTGAATGTAATTATTTATATATTAATTATATGTATATAAGTATATATATATATATAAATATAAGTATTTATTTTTGATTAATAATTTAACGGAAAATAATATATTATTTGTGTATTGTATAATAATAGTATTTTAATAATATATCATTATGAGCTTTTTTAAATAATTTACTTTTTAGAAAAAATATATATTGTATTATGCCCCTCCCATTAATGCTTGTAATGCGGTCAGGAAAACATTTGAGATAATAAAACAATAAAAAGCTCTTTTATATAAAACAATAACTTTATTCTGTTATATATTTTTAAACATGATAGGCCAATTGGATCCTTTAGATCACTGGCATAACCTATATATTTTTAATTACTTTATATACATGCTATATAAATAAAATATAAATATAAAAGAGTTAACTTTACTTATTATTTGAGATAAGTTACGTATTTCGAATTATTATATAGATAATATTATATAACATTTATTTTATATTATGTAGTTCTTATTTAATTTATTTTATTGCGTTACGTGTATTTTATTTTATTTTTTTTTATTTTTTTTTTTTGTTGTTATGTACATTTTTATAATTATAAATTAAATTATTAAATTTATATTCAGTATATCACACTTAAATGTGTTAATTATTTATCTATTAATATAAGGACTTTATATGCATGTAATACATTTATATATATGAAGTTTTTGAAGTGCATTAACGTGGCTGGTTAATAATTAAATATTATATTATAAATATTTTATGATAGTTTTAAAGTGACAGATCTTTTTTATACTTAGGCATCACCTTTTATGGCGCCATCGCCAGGACCACCACCTGTTAATAATGCAACTAGTCCACTTCCACCAGGTGGACCGCAACAACCATATGCTCCCCAACAGATGCTAGCACGTCCTGGACCAATGCCAACAAATCCACAAACGCAGCAACTACCACCAGCTATGATGTCAGCACCTCCTAGTTCTATGGGCGGCCCACCAAGTATGTCTGGTCCAACCTTAACTAATTCTGCAATGTCTGGTCCAAATATGTCTGGAATATCACAATTGCCAAGGATGCCACCTATGCCTGGTCAGCCACCCAATGCTATGCCCGGTTATTTACCTCAACAACCGGTTGGTTTTCCACCACAACCAGCTGGTTATCCCCCTCAACAGCCTATGGGTTATCCACCACAGCAACCTGGTGTTTTTCCACCACAACAACCAGGTGGTTATCCAAATCAAATGTTGCCTCCGCAACCAGGCTTTAATGTAAGTTTCCTTATTATACAAGTTCAAATTAAAGCGTATACAACGCTTTTTTACTCTATTTAGCAGCCACCTGGACCAGCTGGTCAATATCAACCACAGCCTACACCACAAGTTCAACGACGACTTGATCCTGATCAAATGCCAAATCCTATACAAGTTATGACTGAAAATCAGCGCATTGCTGGTGGAGCTTTTGTAACAAATCAACCCGGTTTATTGCCACCATTAGTAACAACGCAATATCTTGTACAAGATCAAGGCAATTCTTCCCCACGTTTTTTGAGGTAAAGTGAACATAAAGTGAAAATATTCTAAAAGGATTACTTCTAAAAACCTTCTTCTTTTTTTAAATAGATCCTCCATGTACTCTGTCCCCGCCACTGCTGATACGCTCAAAACAACAGCGCTACCTTTTACTCTTATTGTTTCACCATATGCACATGTGAATGAAGGAGAATATGAGCCACCTATAGTAGACTGTGGTTCATTGGGTCCAATACGATGTAATCGCTGCAAAGCTTACATGTCACCAAATATGCAGTTCTTGGACGGTGGTCGCAGATTCCAATGCCTTATGTGCAAAGTAACCACAGAAGGTATGTTTTATTGAAATACAAGCATAAAATATTAAAACTATTAACGCTCTAACAATGGAATATTTTTAACTCTTTAGTTCCTACGGAGTATTTTGCGCATTTGGATCATACTGGTCAACGAGTAGATAAATACGAACGATACGAATTGGTTTTAGGTTCATATGAATTCCTGGCTACTAGGGATTATTGTCGAGTAAGTGTATACAGTTTTAAATAAAAATAAAATTGGTTTTTCAATAATGTTTTTACTACCTTTAGAATAATACTCCACCAGAAATACCTGCATTTATATTTGTAATTGATGTCTCCTATAATACAATAAAATCGGGTCTGGTGCATCTACTTTGCTCTCAAATTAAGCAAATTCTTAAACATTTGCCGGTTGATCAGGGTCAAGATAAATCATTGATGCGTGTTGGTTTTATCACTTACAATAGCACTGTACATTTTTATAATATCAAGAGCACCTTAGCGCAGCCACAAATGTTGGTTGTTGGTGATGTACAGGTAACCAGATGATTTTATTCAAATATATGTTATAAATATGTAATTGTTTATATCTTTCTCTTAATAGGATATGTTCATGCCACTACTTGATGGTTTTCTATGTCATCCAGAAGAGTCTGAAGCAATAATTGATGCTTTAATGGACCAAATTCCCAAAATGTTTATTGATACAAAAGAAACTGAAACGATACTATATCCTGCTATACAAGCAGGCTTAGAAGCACTAAAAGCTTCCAATTGTGCTGGCAAACTTTTAGTATTTAATTCATCTTTACCAATTGCTGAAGCACCAGGCAAATTAAAGAATCGTGATGATCGCAAATTGCTTGGCACCGATAAAGAGAAAACTGTTTTAACACCACAATGTCAATCATATAATAATTTGGGACAAGAATGTGTACAACATGGTTGTTCCGTCGATTTATTTTTATTTAATAATTCATATATAGATATAGCTACGATTGGTCAAGTTTCGCGTTTGACTGGTGGTGAAGTCTATAAATATACATACTTCCAAGTAAGCTTTATACATACATATATATAATTTGAAAAATTTTTATTAATTAACATACGACAGGCTGAAAATGATGATAAACGTTTAATTGAAGATATAATTAAAAATATTTCGCGTCCAATTGCTTTTGATGCAGTTATGCGAGTACGTACTTCTGCTGGTATTCGACCTACAGACTTTTATGGACATTTCTTTATGACAAATACGACAGATGTGGAACTAGCGAGTATAGGTAAAGATAATATGTTTACCCATTATAAATATATAACTTAAACCTAACCGGTTTTTAAAAATAATGATGAATCTAAATTTATAATATATGTCTGCATGACTATATATGTATTATATATTACGAAGTAATGAAGCAGTTATATATATATGGTGGGACGTTGGGACAGCGCACTGTCCAACAAGTGGCCCCACTGAAGTGAAGGATTAGTCGAAGTAGACCACGAAACGACTTGGGTCCTTTTTCGTCCTTCGATTCTCGGATGTTGTTATTGAGTTAAAGCTGGAGTGGCTTCCGTTCGCATAACTACATCTTTTGTTAATGCAAGCATCTCATTTAGCTTGAGGTTTCCTGCCAAGTCGTCACCAACCCAATGGTGTCCCAAGACAGTCTTCCTCCTACTTGCCAGTGCTGGACATTGGCACAATATATGCACCGCTGTCTCCTTTTCTTCTAGACATAGTCTGCAAGTGTCTTCCTCAGCTAGAGTTATCTTTTTGAGGTGATACTTGAAGTTGCCATGTCCAGTAATTAGTGAGGTCAGCCAGCTTAGAGTGCTCCGCGAATAGCTAAGCACTTTTATCGCTTCCCTGGCCCACGGTTTAGGTAACATGAGTTTGGTCTGTCTACAAGTGCTCAACTCTCTCCATCTATTAAGATGAAGTGAGATTATCCACTTATTGACATAGGCTGTCGTCATGCTGTACCCCAATGGTATTCTGGGCTCCGGGCCACAGAAATTATGGCTTGATCCTTGCTTTGCAAGTTCATCTGCCTTCTCGTTTTGCTCAATACCGATGTGTCCTTTAACCCACATGATCGTCATCTCATTTCCATGAGCACATTCCATGAGCTTCGTTACACATTCTTGTACTAAGCTGTTAGTTATGTTTGTCTTTTGCATGCTTTTGATAACTGCTTGGTTGTCCAGCGCTATCAGAATCTTTTTCTGATATACCTGACAATCCAATAGGTGATCCAGAGCATGTGAGACCGCCATAAGTTCCGCTTGATAGACGGAAACATATATTCCTAGATGTAGAGTGCACGTTAGTTTTAGCTCTTTCGAGTAAACCCCAGCACCAGCTCTGCCATCCATTAAGGAGCCATCGGTAAATATGCAAATGTCATTCCTTCCACATTCATTATGTAGAAGGCCGTCTACTATCAGTGTTCTGTAGGACACTTCTGCCCCATAAACCCTCCTCATAGTCGCCAATGGCATCTGCGTTTCCTTGACCGCGGCCTGGACGAGATCAAGAATCTTACGATGGCCCACTAATTTTCCGAAGTTGTTCCACGTGGAGCTCCGGTTCATGCGAATTGCTGCCAGTGCCGCCGTTTTCTTTATATGTAAATCCAACGGAAGCAAGCCTAGCATCGCCTCTAATGCCGGTGTTGGTGTAGTTCGCATAGCGCCTGTTATTCCAACACAGGCTAGTCGCTGGACTCTATCTAACTTCGTCTTTATTGTCTTTTGGGTGACTTTACACCACCAGACAACTGACGCATATGTTATAATAGGTCTGACCATCATGGTATAGATCCAGTGCATCGATTTTGGGGATATCCCCCATCGTCTTCCGCACACTCTCTTACATTGAAATAGAGCTCTTTTCGCTTTCCTGATCTTTTCATCCACATGTTCATTCCAAGTCAGTTTATTATCTAGGATAACACCTAGATACTTCACCGACTTTGATATGCGAATGTTATTATCAAAAAGTTGTAAGGGCTCCATTGACAGACTTCTCTTCCTCGTGAAGAGGATAGTGTCTGATTTTGTGGCATTGATGGCCAGGCCTTGTTCCCTACACCATTTTTCGACGCATTTGAGAGCACCTCTCATCACGTTTCTAATGGTGTCTGGGAACTTGCCATTCACCATCAGTGCTATATCGTCCGCATACCCAATTGTTTGTATGCCTTTGAAGTCAAGCTGTTGAAGTAGAGAGTCTATGGTCACGTTCCACAGAAATGGTGAAAGCACCCCTCCCTGTGGGCAGCCTCTGACTGTTCTGCCTCTCAGTCTATGTCTTCCATTTTGTAGGTTTACTGCTCTTTGCCTTAACATGAAATCTATCCATCCAATAATGATTGAACCGACTTCTCGGTCAGCTAGAGCAGATTTTAATTTATCAAAGCTTACTTTGTCAAAGGCTCCTTCGATGTCCATCATGATGGCCATCGAAATGCCTCCTGAAGTCAGCTCTCTCTCAGCTGTCCTCACGACTTCGTGCAGGGCAGTCTCTGTTGATCTCCCCGCCCTATAGGCATGTTGACATCTGCTTAAAGGATATTTCATTAGCGTGGTGCATTCTAGGTAGTCCACTATTACCTTTTCCATAGCTTTAAGCATGAATGAGGTAAGGCTAACTGGCCTGAATGACTTTGCTTCTGTGTAATCCTTTTTTCCTGGCTTTGGTAGAAAAGTCACCCTTGACTCTCTCCAAGCTTTAGGGACGTACCTTGTTGCCAGTGACGTCCTGAATATCTCCGTGAGCCTAACTGCGAGCAGGTCAATTCCCCATCGCAGGAGTGCTGAAAATATGCCATTGAACCCCGGTGACTTAAATGGAGCGAATGTCAAAATGGCATTCCTAACTGCATTTATGGTCACTATCCGTTCTGCATCAAATCTTTCCTCTCTGTTCATTCCCCTTTTGGGAGATGGCCAGTGATCATCAAATTTGAAGCTTCCTGGAAAATGGATCTCCATGAGAGTACTCAATGACTCACCTACTGTCTCCGTCATTGTACCATCCTTCTTTCGGATTAAACCAAGTCTTGAGACCGGATCTTTGGTGACCATCTTTTGTAACCGACTTACTTCAGAGGTCCCCTTCATGCTCGCACAGAAATTCCTCCACGACTCCCGTTTCCGGTTGCGTAGTGCTTTCTTAAATTCACGCTTTTTGGCCTTATACAAGTCCCATGATTCGGAGTTCTTCTCCCTCATGTATTTATTAAAGGCTTTCCTTGTCTCCTTTTTTATTACATCAAGATCCTGACTCCACCAAGGTGTCGATGACTTTTCTGCAATGCTAGTTTGGGGACAAGCGTTTTCGAATGCATTAATCATCGCTGCAGTAATTGCTTTGACTTCTGTCTCTACATTCCATGTGGTCTTGAGTTTCCTCAACGGCCTGTTTTGTAATAATTCCGTCAACAACGTCAAGTAAGTTACCTGATTAGTATTCTCAGGAATTCTTACTAGCCTCTGACTATTAGTGCGTTTCGGACGACAGAGTATTTCAAAATGTATAGCCCGATGATCCGACATTGTTAGTCTATCAGCGACCCTCCATTTCTCAATTTTCTGTGTCATTGCGCCTGAGCACAGGGTTAGGTCAATAACTTCTGACCTTCGTGCGTCAACGAAGGTAGGTTCTAACAATCATCAGATTGTATTTTTCAACAAACTCGAGGAGAGATTCCCCTCTGTTGTTACTATCGCTGCTACCCCACACAATGTTGTGTGCGTTCGCATCACATCCTATGACAATTTCTAGCCTTTTCGTCCTACAATACTCCATCAGTCTGATTACCTCCTGACTGGGAGGTGGTTCAGTAGAGTCGTATGGTAGATAGGCTGACGCCACGATAAAGGTATTTGCATCACTCCCTACTCTTACCGTAGTAAGATCTGGTGAGCATAGATGAGGCAATTGGATGCATTGTATCCCCTTCCTCACCATTATGCATGTCCTTATTTTACCAGCTGCCTGTGGAAAGAACAGCGTGGCAACTGATGTACCAAGTCCCATAATAGCGTTTTGAACAATCCAGGGCTCTTGAATCAGTAGTATGTCCAACTTTTCTTCGTCAAAGTGTCGCAGGATCATTGCTGATGCTGCTTTACTGTGATGAATATTCAGTTGTTCAACCTTTATGTTTTTCTGGTATGGGCCCACCCGCCTCCCTAACGGTCTACACAGACCCGCTAGCCCCATACCAGAGGCGTTGTCTTGCTCGTCGTGCATCCCTTTAGAATTTCACTTTGGCTTGATCAAGACCACAGTTGAGCCTACCCCCTGCGGTCTTAATCGCCTCCGCGTCTTCTTTCGGGCACCACACTGTGAGCCTGACGCCAGCACTGCTCTCCTCGCCAAACTTGTTGAAGTTAGTAACTCTCCACTTTGAAGTGTCCTTAACACAGCTGTTTTGCTTCTGCAGTCTGCTAAGAATACTTTCCTTGCCTACGGTAGAGTCGTACACAAAAATAAGTAATCTTCTTTCGTTGCGCAACGCCGTTAGCGTGTCAGCCGTCAGCTTAGCTTCAGGCCAAAGGCCTTCCAACTTAGTTACCGTGCTGATTAGCCATGCCTTTGACTGTTGGTTCTTACACTTAATGGTAATGTACCCATCCTCAAGGCGAGCGAAGCAGTTAAGAAAGAAGTCACTCTCTATCACTTTTAATGTATTACATTCTATTCATTTTAAATTACATTTTTCATTATATCTAACTTCAACTTTATAAAGTTGACATTTGTATATTTAAATAGACTTATTCAGAAAGTTAGTAATATATTTTAAGTTACAGATCCGCAATTCATTAATCTTTAGTATTCAAAAAAGTATTTATGTATTTAATCGTTTTTTAGTTGATATATGTTAATTAATACTGTTTGATATTTATATTGAATTTCATTCCGAAGAATTCAAATTTGATACTTGCTGTCACCAGTTGGTATATATCATTAATAAGAACTAATTTGCGCTTTTAAAACTTCACTGTAACTGACACATAAGTTGAAAGGTCAGATATAAGTTATTTTATTAAAAAAATATCAAAATTTCTAAATCCCGAAATTTAATTTTTAAGTAAATAATCTTCGAAAATTGATCATTTTAATCGTTTCTCTATTAATAATTTTTGTACTTCTAGAATCAAGCTTAGTACTGTAGATTTGTTAAAGTTTAAATTCTGATTCATACATTAATCCCATAAACCAATACTGCTTAAAATTAGTTTTCTTTTTTGTAGTTTATACATTACATTTTCCTTAATATTCATATTCATTTAATATTCTTTAATATTTTATTTCAGATGCTTCAAAATCGATAGCCATTGAAATCAAGCACGATGACAAACTGCCTCCGGAGGAAAATGTTTATCTACAAATTGCACTTTTATATACATCATGTAGCGGACAACGACGATTACGGATACTTAATTTGGCTTTGCTAGCGACAACAACACTTGCTGATATTTTCAAGAGTTGCGATTTGGATGCGATTATGTTGTTCTTTGCCAAACAAGCTTGTGTCAAATTATATGAATTAACACCGAAAGTTGTTAAAGAAAATCTTATAAATCGATCGGCGCAAATATTAGCTTGCTATCGTAAGCACTGTACCTCACCAACGTCTGCAGGTCAATTAATATTGCCCGAATGTTTGAAATTGTTACCCTTATATGTTTCATGTCTGTTGAAAAATGATGCTATATCTGGTGGTTCCGATATGACGCTCGACGATCGTTCTTATGTTATGCAATTTGTACTCGCCATGGACTTGAATATGTCCGTGACTTATTTATATCCACGCTTCATTCCAATTCACAATGTGGAGTCCGACGAAAACGGTATACCGATGTCAATTCGTTGCACACATGAAAAAATGGCACAAGATGGTGCCTACATATTAGAGAACGGTGTATATCTGTTCATATGGCTGGGACAATCATTACCGCAATCCTTTATACAGCCATTATTCGGTGTGCAATGTACGCAACAAGTAAATGCGGAACGCTTTGCTATCACTGGTGACACACCATTAGCTGGACGAGTGCGAGACATTATTGAGATGATCATGGCCGAACGCAGCAGATATATGAGGGTAATACTAATAAATATAAATATGAAATATAAAATACTCGTATATCTAATCATATTCTCTTTATTATTATTTGAAATAGGTGACGTGTGTAAGGCAGAATGATAAACTAGAAAGTGTTTTTAGACATTATCTTATTGAGGATCGTGGTACTGATGGCTCTGCGAGTTATTTAGACTTTTTATGTCACATGCATAAGGAGATTAAGGACTTAGTAAGTTAGCCCGTAGGTCACAAAACTGCTACAACCGTTGCAAGTCGCAGTTATTCACAGAATCGCGCACGCTTGTATCGGCTGACGAGAAGAAGATTGTGAATATCACAACAATAAACCATAAATACATAAATAATATATATATATATATAATGCAAATTCAAACATCTCTATCATGCAACAACCAACATATATACATGAAGGAAAAATAAACTAAAAAATTTAGCTAATACTAGCAACTACAATAAATAACCTTATTTTATAAAAATACCTTATGATGCAATTGATTGTTCTATTTCAATTTAAAACATTTATTATAAATTTTTCTTTTTTATTATTATTATTTATAGGTAAAATATGTATTTAAAATTTATGTAATATTATGAGTAAAATCATTTATAATATATAATTTACATGTATTAAATAAACATTTTTAATCAAATTTCAAATGTTTATTTAAATGAGTTCAAACTTAATACTGTTGAAATTTAGGCGGAATGAATATGTGTAGTCATGCTTTATTATTATTTTTTACTATTATTATCATTTTTTTTTATGTTATGTAGGGTTCCAATGGATTTTTTGTTTCTGTTCCAAACAGCTTTTATTTTCATATGAACATATTTTATATTTTAATAATTTTGCTTTAGATAATTCATTATTTCTTTTTTTCAATTTCAATTCTCGCTTATATATATATATATATTTATAATTATATTTTTTCGATTGTTTTTAATTATGTAAAATAAAATAAATTAAAAATAACTACGTGTATGAAAATTTCTATTGATTAGACATTATAGCAAATGTTAGTATATCAAATATAAAATTTATTCTCATTTTATTTATGCATTTTTCTTTAAAACATTCCTTAAAGATATTTTCTAACTCAATGATTTTATTAATATTACTCAGATGAGTATATAATTGCAGATTTAATATACAGGACTTTTTTTAAATTTTAAAGTCTACGAAGAGAATTTACCTTTTTCTTCAAATAAATATAACATATGTTATATTTTCATATACTTTTTCATACAAAATCCATTGCAGTTGTAGTGTACTTCCACTCTTTTATGTCTGCATTATATATATCCTTTAACTCCTAGTTGGAGCATAGGACCGTCTGCATTAAAGCTTACATAAATCTTTAACTTCAACACAGAAAGCTGTCCTTAACTTGTTGAAGTATGTAAACAATTGATTTCATTATTTATAATTCTCATTAGGTTTGCTTACCTGATAGCATAAGAATATGTGTTAAATTGCTTATATAAATTGCTTATTATACTTGTTTTAATACAAAATTACAGCAACAGAATAGCTGAATTTTTAAAATATAAGATATATGATTGAATATTGAAATTGAATGTGTCTTCATCTCAAAGTTCATGTATACTGTATAATAAGTTCAGTTTTTCCATATATAAACCATTGTATTTATTGTGTTTAAAACTTTAAAAATATTAACTAAACTATGATTTAAATTAAAACTTATTTTAAATTTTTGAGTCCACTAGAAACGGTAACATATCCACAAAATTTCAACAAATGGTGGTTGTTCTAGAAATTCCGTTTTACCCACAATAAACTAAGCATCATGGTTTTTGAACAGTGTGTACGTGCCTTTTTACAATGTAAGTAAAATTGACAAACGAAACTTACGCTCTATAGATTGTTCATCCTTCCTGTGCTTCTGCAAGGTGCAGAAGCATGAACGTTATCACACAATAATAAAGCAGCACTGGGAGTTTTCGAGAAGACTGGGAGATCTTCGTAAGATCTTGGGTTCTCTACAAGTTGGCGACGATTACCGCATACGATTGAAATACGAGCTTTATCACTGATAAAGCTGATCACTGATCATTGATATAATTCAGCGAATTAACATCCAGCGGCTTCGCTGGCTTGTTCATGTCATGAGAATGGACGAACCTGCTCCAGCAAAAAAGGTCTTTGAAGCAGTAGTTGGAGAAAGAAAGCGATCATTCCGGTGGAATGATCAAGTTGAGGGAGCACTGACCGGACTTAATATAAGAGACTGGAGAAGGCTCACACGCTGCAAAAGCGCCTGGGGAGACATGCTGCGTCAGGCCGAAATTCGGTAACGGGTTGTTATGGCTAAATAAGTAAAAAAGAACGTAAATGAATGTTGATTAGTAGGTGATTGAATATAACATTTTTCGTGCTTTTTGGGTCTTCATCCGATATATAATTTGTTTATTGGAAATATCTCTAGTTTTGGTACATCACCAAAAAATTAAATTGTATTTATAAATAATTTATAAATTAGTTTTTAAATAATAGATATTTATTCAATATCTATGGTTCAAATTATGGTATATAGTACTTTTTAGTCTTCAATAGTACTGCCTTTGTAGCTTCTTATAAACTTCATATATTTTATGAATATATATTATGTAATAAATACGAACCTCGATTGTTAAATTTAGCCATGTGTTGTTGTTGTATCCTGCAAGGATCTCTTTGTGTAGTCCCTTTTGGGTATGTTGAACGGCTCTCGGTCGTCGAACTCCGGGTCTACGAGTGACTCCGGGACGTAGACTAGGCCTTTATTGGAACTAGTACGTCCTCGACTGTTTTCAGTAACAGCATAATATTTTAATTATTTCGTGTTGATAGATGTTGGGTGGTTAAAAATTTATAAAGTAATAATTACCATTTTAGTTTTTCATAAAAAAAACCTATAAGAGAGTTTTGAATATCACATGTGGAAAACACATATTAACACACACGGTTTCACAAAATATGATGGAACGTTTTTTACTTCTAAATAGAACTTAAAACTTTTGTTATTGACATTTCTTATAAAACAAGTAGTAAAAGTAATAAAAATAGGGAGAGAGTCAGTTTCATAGAAAAGCGTTAACAATAATCTATTTCCACAAAACTACTACATATAAAAAGAATTATATAAAGTTCTTAATATAACCTAATACCGCAATCAAATTACGTAAAAAACTCGAAAATTTCGTTCTAAATTGCAAACAGATCCCTGCGGGGTACAACAACAAATTCAAATCTTCACACAGAAGCAGTATCTTCTTCAAGACCACTGTTACTCTGCAACACAGTTCGCAATACGCTTCGTCCAACATCTTTCGTCCTTTCCCCGTGCAATTGAGATTAGAATATAGTTATGCGCTAAACAATTACTTGTCACATATGAATGCGTCAATTCCCAATATGTGCACCAACTTCAGCTCTACGCCTTATAAGGTCGCCCACCTTTTTTCTGCCCCAACGCAAACAGAAACTTGAGGCCTATCGACTTTTTAATAAGACCTAATCTATAGGTTTTTCCGCTTTGAAACTGTTTAATGTCAATTTATATCCTACACATTTTCTAATCGCATCTTACTCCTAAATAATTCCCTGCCCTCTCACACCATCAATACTTCTTCACATCCTAACCTTTGTATTCATCTTGTAAATCCTTCTATGCTATCTGCTTTACAGAACCTTCCTGGCTACAACAACAAAATCAATTGCACTTAGTGTTGGGGGCAGAACATTCCATTCCTGATCTAATGTATCTAACATCCGATCAATCGGCGACATAGAGCGCAAATTCTATCTTGCATAGAAGGAAACATCCATGAAAAAGAATCGTCAAAAAGTAATCCAGTGTGACCGGGACTAGTAAGAGCAGCAATTATTAAATTATTTTTAGCAAAATATAAAACAAAAGTTATAAATAATTTATATTTAATTATATATTTTGTTTCATTTTATTTTATATATTAGATTATTTTATTTTATCTGATAATAGTACAAATTTTATATTATTTTTAGTTAATAATAGTAATAATAATCATAATAATGACAATAATAATCATAATAATATAATTTAGTTTTATGCAGTGGCAAAAGGTTTATTGCAGTGAATAACTTCAGTTTCGTGCATTTTTTCTCTTTAATTTCTTATTATTACTAATAACAAAATAATAAAATGTCATATATTAAAATCTTTTTTTTTTTAAGTTTTCTTTTCTTTTTGTATATAAAAAGACAAATCAAAATCAAATAACATCTTTAAATTTTTGTTTTAAAAATTTACTTATATGTGATCACAATTTTTGATTCCACTCAATCCAATCAATTATGGACACATACATACATTTATAACGATATTTGTAATTATATTTAGGGAACGCGGAACTTGGAAGGCAAATATGTATTATTTTTGTATATGCAAAATATAAAAAACAAGAATAAAAAAAGAAAAATTAACAAGACAAGACAGTGAAATATTATGAAACTTATATAAGTTCATTTAACTCACATTGCTATTTTATTAAACTATTTACGTATTTGCTGGTATACACATGCTTACGCACATTTAGTATATACATACATATATCTCCATATATACGTTTTATTTCTTTGCACATTTCAAATACATATACATATCTATTTACATATAATTTGCATAAATATATATACATATCTATACTTTATTTAAATAAATATATACGCATATAAACAGATATACTTATAATACATACATACATGCTCTTTTGAATTTACGTACATTTAATTGAAAAATGAAAAAAGTTGTGTTTACACAATTTGCAAAAAATTTACATTGAAAAAAAATTTTGTATAAATATTTTAAAATTAAACACTATTGAAGAAACTTTTGTTAAATTATATAAATCGTAAAGCAAAATTTAATTTAGTTTGTATAAATATTTTTTGTTTTCTTTTAATTATTTATTCGTGTACTCTTAAATACAAATGTCTTATATATTTTTTTTTTTTTGCAGATATTAAATTTCCATTTTCTTTCTTTTTCTCTTCTAAAATTTAATTTAATTAATTACAAATTAGCTATACAAGTTTATTTACGTTTTTTTTTTTAAATTTATAATATTATTTTCTTTTTTTCATTTTGTAAATTTTCTTTCATGAATGGGCGCAAATCTAAATCTTTCAAAATATTTGATATATAATATTATTACCTATTATTAAACTACATTTGTATATTAATTATTGTTTATAACAATTATAAAACATGATGTATAATATATATATATATAAAATAAAAGTCAATATTTTATATGATTTAGATTAAAAAATAATAATATGACAATAATAAATTGCAGTTGATAGAAAATAAAGTGCTTCATTGGCAATTGTCTTCGCTTCGCTGGTGAAGTGACTGCCGCATTTAGTTTTTATTTTATTTGGTGAAAGCCATAAAAACTGCCCATAATATTTCATTAGCATTTGGCTTAGCAGCTTCTCCTTCGAAATCTAAATCCAATAGTTCTCTCACACGTTTCATGGCCACTTCATAATCATCATCGTTTAAAGGAGCGAATGCATTCTCTATAACATCACTCGCATGCGCTAAAAATATTAAAGCTAACATACGTTTATCCATGCGCTGAGGATCATTCACCCATTTCGACAGAACTGCATCTTGTATCTGAACATTAAAGATATAAATAAATTTATTTTAATTAAATTTTTGTTTTAATTTATATGCGAAAAAAATTTTTATGTTAAAAGCTATATACGAAAACCGATAGGCTACCCTACTTAGCACTATCTAATCTCAAAGTAATCACTAACCGCACGGAGCGAGACACAGATCTCAGATCAGTCATTAAATAATCACGAAGCTTATGAGGAATACATAAATTAACAGTGAGATGGGTGGGACCCTGCAGAAATCGCCCAGCTATCAAACAGTAAAAGTGGCCAGATGCACTAACTCGGAAAAAGGCACTAACTCAACAACTTGTTTGAAATGACTATTATTTAAAAAAAGACCTGGTTTCAAACTATAACTAAAAATAAAATAGGTCATATTTTTGCAAGAGCCTGAACAGAAATATATATCGAATTAATTTGGTTTCGCGTCGAATTAATTCGTCTATTACTACTTCAAGAAGCTATAGACGGAACTATTTTATAAAAAATATTAAAGTAGTTAGCTGATATAAAATAAAGCCCAGGGTATGGACATTTTGAATTAGCAATTAGTCAAACACATTTCTAAATGTAGGCTCCAGTAGGGGATGGGTTTGCATACCGAACCACCTTTTTTTCGGATGACCACCTCTCTAAACATGAGTTACAATTACTAAAAATGTAATATTAATTATAACTGTGAATATTCATTCATTCAATTCCTTAAACTTGACAGGATCTGTGGGATGGTTACTATGGCTGATCAACAGATATTCTTTCGCTTCAAATAATTAGCGATTATTTACTATAAATATCAAAACAAATCCTGATAAACGAAACTTGTGTTGTTGAGCTTATATAATTTAGCAGATCCATTGCCCTTTCTGATGACTAATGGACCGACTGTCAAGAAAATCTATTCCCTAAGAAACTGTTCCTTTTATTAAGCAGCAGATTGTGTTTTCTCTCATATCTTGAGCTATGGTGGCACTGTATCACATCTGCGGTTAGAAATTAAAATACTTAAACTTGATAAGAGCACAAAGTTTTACTCTACTTCTAAATAAACTAAGGCAATGTAATAAAAAAATTGCAATTTATAATCTAATATTGCCTAAGAAGACACTATAAATTTATAATAAAGTATAACAAAGGATCTTGTGTTGGGACAAACAAAATAAATAAAATAATTTATATATATTGTTAAATAATTTAACGCTAATTTTTGAAACAACTTGTAATTATCCTTTACCTTTTTGACTAAACGTAACTTCACAACGTTGTCACTTAAAGGATGCGTGGTCATATCAAATAACAAAAAATTTTGTTTTTCCGTTGTAAGCACACCTTTCTCCACTAAATTCTTAGCCAAGCGTTCTCGTACATTTTTAAGTTGATAACGCAATTTTAATGGATTCCATGTTTCACCTATAAAATTTAAATTACAAAACAATTAGCAAAGATTGCAATTAAAAGTAAATATAAGTCAAAAACTCAACATACCGCTTAGGTATTCGATCCAGCTTTGAACAGTTTCTGGGGGATTAGTTTCTTTGATGTGTTTAAGAGCTTCATCAAGTAATACATCACCGGTTTGTTGATCTGATTTTAATATCAGTTTTCTACTTAAAATTTATTTACAGTAAAAAATAATTTATTTTTTTTTTATGTTAAAAAGCAGTTTGTACCTTGTGCATAACCCACGTCTGCGCATACCAGATTTTTCGATCATTACGCGACCGCGCAAGCCGAGTTCAATTAATATGCAACCACGTAAACCACTCGATATACAGTCATTCCAAAATGATGTGTAACCCTAAAAGAAAAATTCGATTAATTATAAATTTAGTATTTTTTAATGTTAATTTTTTTGCCAAAAGTGGTGTCACATTTTCGTTTTAGGAAGAAAATAAACTTTTTAAAATTTAGAAGGATTCATCTAGAAAGCAAAAGACAACAACAAAAATTTTAGTTCATTTATTGAAATTTGGCTGCATATACAACGCAGTTTCGAGTAATGCCAAGTATTAATCATCAGTGGTCTTAAGAAATATTCGAATTTCTTTGCAATTAGTTTATAGTCCGTATATAATCTGTTTCGACTACAAGTACCAGGCTTAGATTGACTGCCTATCAAATTAGAAGCGATGACTCAAGTTTCAAGTTTTTTGCCACTTTTTTTATTTCAGATTATTATATAAAAAATACACAAAAAACGGTGGGACAGAATTGACAAATTAATATGAAATATCAAGTTTTTGTTGCACAATAATGCATCGTGATACAAGAAGTCTTTACTATAAAGGATATTCTTCTTATCAGTCATACACTATATTTACCCGATTAGTCTTTATGCAACTCTTGGCTATTTTCTAAACTGAAATTGAAAATGAAAGACAATGGTTTCGAAATAAATGCGGTTATCAAAAAAGCAAGCTTCTACCGACACACTAAAGCCAATTCCAGCTCTAAAGAGGAGGAAGAATTTATTTTGAATAACAAATAATAAATAAAGTCTCAAAATAATAAATGTTTTTTTTTCTTCTTTTTTTTGAGACTAATCTAATCGGTTTGTGACAGACCGCCCAGAAATAAATTAACATATTTACTTGAAAATTACGTGTTTGTAATGTGCTTTTAAGCCTTGACTATTAATTCAATTGCAAGTAAATCCGCTTTTGTCTGTAATTTAAACAAAGTTTGTTAATAAAAATAATTAAAAAAAAATATTCAAGATCAATAGACAGTGGCGTCGCGAGCATAGCAAGCGCCCTGCGCACTATAGCTTTTTAGCGCCCCCTGACAAAAATAGATATTGAAATCTAATATATATAGAATATATTTGGAAGTAACATAAAAACGAAGCAGAAGACTGAAGACCAACTTATTTTCCCACCCCCACTTAACTCATCGTTCTTCATAAAACACAGTAAGCAAGTAAAAAAAGTGAAAGTGAAGTATTTCCGATATATATGGAATATAGTCGTCGACCATTTTTCGCCTTTCTGAAAATGGCGCTCAAGGCGTAATAGACTGACTTGTTCTCGCTCCCTCATTTAGTCACTATTAATAGCGATGCTAATCTTCTGAAAGAACTCATCACAGTTATCTTCATAAAAAATAGTAAGCAAGCAAAAGAAGTTAAAATGAAGGTTATCCGATATATATGGAATATCGTCGTCGACCATTTTTCGCCTTTCTGAAAATGACGCTCAAGGCGTAATAGATTGATTAGCAATGCTAATCTTTTGAAAGAACTCATCACAGTCATTGTCATAAAAGAAAGAAGGCAAGCAAAAGAAGGTAAAGTAAAGTATCTCCGATAGCAAATAATTTTCCATATACATACTACTCTTTGTGATGAAATATTTATCAATATAATAAAGTAAAACCTTTTTCTGTAATTGTCAAGGTCGTAGAGATATGCAGATACATGAAAATTTTCTGTTATTCTCGTTAATTTATTAAAATTATATTTTTTTTATTTGTATCTTCGCTGGTCTGGTTAGCAATTTTGTTAAAATTGTTCTACTTCTGTGCGATACTTTACAGAGCAATTAACAAAATTAAGTTGATAAGAGAGTTGAAGAAACAAGTGCCGTGACAAGAAATGTAACTGCAGAAATATGTATGTATGTTACATCTGAGCAATAGAACTCACATATCATATATAAGATTTCTTTTTTTCGAAAATGTTAAATAACAAAACTGTTAATGGCAGCAAAAAGCAAATAAGCAAAAGCTTTTGCGAACACGTACAAAAGTACGAGTATATGGAAAAAAAAATTTAATAAAATAATTATGTATGAAAACGATTCGAAAGGGCAATAAACAGTCAATAAAACAATGAACTGGGAGATCCATAAAACTTAAAAATACATAAATTAAATATAGCCACGCATTTTGCTGTGTACGCTGCAGTTGTTGCAATAACAAACCGAATATCAACAAACAACATTTTCCATGATTATCTCAACGCAGATACTCGTATTTAAATACCAAAAAAAAAAAAAAAATAATAACTAACAGTCCCCAATAGGCCTTAGATACAAGCCAGCAAGCATGGATCGTTCGTTTGTGTGTTAACAATTGTTTTCAACAGCTTCAATTTTAATGACTTCGGTGTTTGGTGAAAACACTTGCTGTTGTTTTTATGAAATAGGTCGGATGGAGGAGAGGTGAAATAGTAGAAAACATCACATCAATGTTTAATAAAAAAAAAGAAAAACGCTTACAATATCAAATATCGAAATTAAGTAATCATCAAATGGCTACTAAAAGTTAAATGAAATACAGAGAAACACATTTCAATACACTTGAAAAAATATATATGATTTTTGGAAGTATATACGATCTCGAATAACTTATTTAGAAATATAATAGGCAGGGTTTGGAGATCGTTTTTTCAGACTATAAGAACATGTTAAACATAGAGCAAAAATTTAAATATATGTTGATAAATAAATTAAATTGCTAAACTTAAGTCGAAGCAATAAGAAAAATGATATTAACTGAAACACAACAGCGACAAGAGCACGATTAAATTACAGTCGCTGACTACATAGTTCAAGGTTTCCCGGACGTCACGAAATCGGCCGAACCGATGGAAGACCCAAATGCTGGATAATCTGATCTGAATCTGACATATAATTTAAAATTCGCTTTTTATGCCATGACTACTCTCATCACTGCACTCCCCAACGCCAAAGACTGTAGCTTAATCGAGCGCAAATCCTACGGTGATGCGATACATTTACACAACATCATTTTTGACATTTTACAGACACCACTACAGCCAGCTATTGTACTAGGTGGATTAATATTACTTGATTTCACAACAGGTGGCAACGCCAGAACAAAATCAATTATATTTTGTATATCTGGCAAGTTTTAAGCACTTGTAACATCTGTAAAAGTTTCGACTTCATCAGCTGTTTGGCTAACATGAGATGGCAAATATATCATATGAATTTGTATCGAATATTTTACATGAATATTTGGATATGAAGAAGCTTTCGGGAAGATGAGAGCCCCGTTTGCTCACAATTAACCAAAAACCACAACGACTTCGTGATTCAAAACATTGTTTGGAAATGTTTCTTTACAATCTATATGACTGTGATAATCTAGCATCGAGTAGTGATAATTGATGAAGCATGGATCTATTACTTTACATCTGAGGGAAAATAACAAGTCAGAGAATGCCCGAGAGTAGAGCTTCCAAATGATCACGAACTTAACAATCGACTGGAAAAGTTATGGCTTCCGTATTTTAGGATTCAAAAATAGTCGCACAAACACTAAAATTGGTCTTCCTAAACCACGTTCAACAATAAGACTATTATTACTATTATTAAAAGAAGGGATTGTGCACTGCGACCTAAAAGATCTACGAGTATTGTGCTCCTTACTCGGGTTAGAGTGTTTCTCCAAGTCCGATTTCTTTAATGAAAGACAGTATAGAACTGACCTTTCCTAGTCTTGAATCTTCATGATCCATGTTATACCCTCCTAGAACAATAACACCAACAACACCAGAAATTATCTGAAAATGGATATGATTTTGAAAGATCGACAATCGACTAAGAGCGTTTTGAAAAATTGTCGATTACCATAACTAAGGTTTTAGAAGATTATCGATTGACCGAGAAAGATTCAGTAGACGATCTAGATATTTTAGTTCTCCAAGTTTTATGTTTTAAAAGGCTGTATATAGGTATATAAAAAATATAAATTCACTAACAATATAACAAACACACACGCTAAGACGACTTTGGCAGTAACATCTGCAACTAATATTTGTGACATGATGATCTTGAAACTGTTTAGCAAGTGGCTATACCCATTTCTATCATTCACACTGTTGAATTCAATTCAATTGAATTATTAAACATCAATGTTTAAATAATGTTTTCATTTTATTACAAGCTGAAGTACTCATAGGAAAGTCATGAAATTTTGACACACATATACAGTTTAGTTTAATATACTATATATAGTTGTACTTATAATGTCTGCACGTCAAATTGATCACTATCTATGTTAAAATTTTAATGAACCATTGTGGTATTAAAGCCTGCACTTATAATTCAAAGCTTCTCCACAAAAACTTCGTTTGTTGCTGTACAAAAGATCTTATTTTTCAAATGGGACCTTAAATCTTTATTGCGCAATCTAATCTAAGTTCTAGTTACTTAATTTTGTGTGAGAAATACAAATACTTTTATTGATATTGTGAAGCTTTACCATAAGGCATACGATCAATAAAATTTTCAGCACATACGAACTATTGCAATTTGCAAAAGAAAGAAATTAGAAGCACACAACAATACAAACTTGCCAAAAACTTGAACGTGTGAGTCCTGTGAATAAAGTTTAAAAAAACTCAATGCGATATAATTAACTAAAGTAATTAACTATGTTGACAGAAAATAATCACAGTATTAAATATTTTGAAGAAATTTTTTCTTTAATTGCAAAATAGGTCATAGTTATTATTAATTATGGCATAAAAACTTTATAATTAATTTTCTTGGTTTTTTTAGCTAATTTTATTAAACGTTTGTTTTTATTTTACTTAACTAAGTAAAGTAAACATAAAAAAAAATAGACTATAATTAATCTCTGGCAAACTTCCAGTTTTAGATTAGGTTTTTTAGTTTAACGAAATTAAAACATAAACGTATTCATAAAATTCACATTTACTAAAACCGTTCTTAGTTTCTTTTATATAGTAGATTTGCCTCTAAGCAGTTTACGGCAACTTAATATAATTTCTAAATTCTCGTAACACATAATCTCTATGTAAATATTTAAGGGAAATAAAAAAGTTATATAGTTTTATTTTGTATGCATATACATGCATTCAAGTAAATAAATATCAGATAAGAATACATATATATATGTTTATATATATAAATTGTGATAATAATTTCACCGAGTTAGTCAAATTAATGACTAATCACGTCTTTGGACGTAATAACCTTAAATGGGATGGGGAATCTTCAAAAAAATTGCATAGAAAATTATAGAAATAGAAATATTTAGAAATATATAATAGAATTTAGAACAGATCGGAAGTATCTGATTTATAAAAAAATAAAAATCTCATTTATAAATAAAATAGCTATGACTATTTTTTTTTTATTTTCAAAAAACTATTTTTAAAAGCTGGTTTGTTAGATAAGCTTTTCAGTAAGTAATTTTTCTTTCGTAAAAGTTTAAAATTAAAATTGATTTCACGAGCAATGTAAAGAATTTGATAAAGAGAATTGTAAAATTGCGAAAAATAACTTTGTTTCATTTCAAATTAATTATAATCAGTTCACTCAAATAAATGTTAAATTTAATACACAAACTTTAATCAACTAAAAATGGTTGATTTAGGAAACTCAATTTTGTAAAAAAAAACCACATATCTATAAACAAAGTATATTGTATTAGCTGATAGGTATCGGTTACAGCCCTGTACCTAAAATAGTTAAAAATTAAAATTCGAAAAATATCGTTGAAAATTAAATCGTTAATTTAAGAAAACAAAAACCGTCCATAATTTAACTGATATCCAGTCATCTCCTAGATATTTCCTGGATATCCAGTAAACAGCCAATTGCCTATATTACAAATATCGAATATATACTAGACGCTCAAAGATGATGATTGACTTCTGGTAAATTCTAATTAGTCGCAAAGTAGATGGGTGATATTTTCCTATTCTTTTGTTAATCAACATTTACCATCAACACTTTTTTTATTTTGTCTTAAAAATGTTTTTTACATGACGATAGAAAGAATATCTAATTTTTTTTTTGGCCCATAAATCAATTTATCTTAAATATATTGGCACATAAGATTTAAAATACTGAACTGATTGAATGAAAACGCCAAAAGCGATGATTAAAGATTCGATTCCATAAATTTGATTACCTCGTGCGACCCAATCTAACGTTTCTAACTCGAAATATGAACTGACATGTGAAGCTATCCCCGAAAAAAAAAGGAAAAACAAAACTTACACAGACATAGGTATATATGTACATTTTGTATAAAAAGTACTAGGAATTTTTTCTTTTCTAAATCAGAGGTATCTAGGTCTTTATCTGTGTATCTGTCTTTACAGGGCACTGGAGCATAGGACAGTATGGAGCTAGGCTCGACCTACCCTGTGGTATCATCTACAACGCATGTCTCCCGACTCTCGAAGAAATGACACCAGAACACCTGTTGTCCAGGTCTGATCAGAGCTAGGCTTAGATTGTTGGGAGCCCCCTTCTTTAACACACTTAGCGATATCTTCAATATAAGCATTAGCCAAACTCTCGCCTTTATAAATACTTCTGGATGCTTTTAGTTCAATCTTCTTCTACCCACTATTACGAGGTATTGTGGATTCAAAACGGCTTTAATAGCTAATTAAAGAGGATTCGTTTCTCCCTCCATTTCAACTAACTAACTAACTAGGAATTTTTTAAATAATAATCAAAAAACATCATTGAACAATCAAGATTATTGTTAAGTTCTATACTATAATGTCAACGTGATATTCTATTCTTCAAATCTCTAAGCAAATTTTTTTTATGGCCCACTTGAACCGCTTTCCTCAAATACTCCGCTGACTCGTTTTCTAACTTATCATCACCGCTTCAGCACAAGTCATTTGCATGCAACATTAAATATGATTTTATGAGTTTATTAGCAGATTGTATATTCTGTTAAATAATAAAACCAGAAAAACATTTAATGTACAAAAATATTTTTAGAAAATTGCAATAATTGAGATTGGAGCGTTAGTCTGTAGGCAGAGAAATCTTTTTAGTCCCAAACTTTATTTTTAAGAATAGTAGTTTGCAAAGTCAAAAAATTTATTAGGGTAATAAATTGATATATATATAAATATATATCTTAATAATGTAATGTATATTTATGGCATATAATAAAATGGTATCCAGAGATATTAAGACTGTTATTACAATAGTTATTAACGCATTGCCGTTATTATTAATTAAAAACTACTTAGCATTTAAATATGTAAATAAAAATCATTGTAACTTACAAGACTATACGTGCAATTATTTAAACTATTTTAATCAAAAGTCTGTTATCAAAATCTGCGTATGTGCTATATTTTACTTACATAATCTAAAGTAAATGTAAATTGATATATACACCACCCCAACTGTGTAAATAAATTTCTATCTTAAGCCTTTAAAACAGATATATTGTACTCTAGCTCAAAGCAATCAACTGTATTTTATAATTCAGAAAATATATAGATTTTATAAGCTACAAACTAAAAAAAAATAATCACAAAGTAATTAACACACATATGGTATATCATACATATATATAATTAATCAAACTAATTAGTACTTAATTTTGTAATAATATTTGAATGTTTACAAAATATCCGGTTGACGGAATAAATAAATTTCTAACTTAAACAATCGAAGCAAATGCATATACTCTGATTCGGAATGATCTATCTTATTTAATTTTTTCATCACACATCCCATCCCAACCCATGTATTCCTGTATTCCTGTTGTAATCGTTTTATGTTTCTTACTCTATAAGTCCCCGCGGGTTACAGAAACAAAAACTTCAGTTCATAATTTAAACTATATAACATATTTTGATTTTATTTTAGACTATTTAATCTATATATAAAAAATTTTATATCAATTAATAAAACTATATACAATTCATTAGATAAAAACTATATTTTTTTTTTGCAATTTTGAGTTCGATTTAGTTTAAGTCTTAATAAGTTAGCTATAAAAACCTCATTGGCTGCATACTCCAATCCAACTATAAAAACTGAAATATTTTATATCACTAAAAGCCCGCAGTTTATCAATTGCTCTAATATATGTAGATAAGAAGTATAACTTAAAATAATGTGACTGTCAACAATTTTGCTATGAGTAATAAATAGTTAAATGAACGATTCAGTAATTGATAGGTCAAGATAATAGATTGTATTAAATTTTTTTTTAATATCTTAACATATTGTTTTCATTATCTATTTTTATACTTAATACAAGGTAAAAAGTCTGTTTTAATAAGGTATATATTGCGTGAATAGTGCTGCTTTAAATTTTTATACCATATACAGCAAACACTGATAAACTATTAAAATAAATGTGAATCTTTTAATGTCCTAATCAACACATAATATAATTGATTTAGAACTCATTATTATTGTTGATCTAACCTGGTTTAAAATTTCATAAGTTTTAAAAATTTTAACAATTTTACTTATTGTTATAACCCGCAAGGGTCTGTAAAGCAGATAACATAAAAGAAATTACAAAATGAATACATGGGTTACGACGTTAGATTGTGTGAGAGAGTAAGGGATTATTTAGGAGTGAGAATGGATTGGGGGTTAGGTGTGATTTAAATGGAAATGAACTAGAATTGGAGCGGAGAAACCTAGCCACTTCCAGGCGGCACCTAAACCTAGCCACTCCAATCTAAGTCTATTAAACTAAAGTTTGTGTGTGCGCCGAAGCAGGCAAACAGATGGGCGACATCAAGTGCGGTAGAGGTAACATTTAGTAAGTTTCTGTCTTTCTGATAGTTGGTATTATGTACTTCATCGAACTACAATTAGTTTTTCACATCGAATATATGATTACAATGCAATCATAAAATAATAATTAATGATTTAATTTGTTAAAAGTTAAGATTTAAACTTAGTTAAATCCTTGTGTTTAAAGAGCAGAACACAAAACAAAAAAAAAGCGGCAGCTGTATGTAAAAATAGAAGAGAACAGCTTAAATATTCCAACCTTACTCAAACTGTTTTAGACAATTTTACTTAACATTGTTGTTTCAATGAAGAATTAAAGTTGATAATTGTTATATTAATTAAGTTTAAGTTAAATCGTAACCTTATGTATTAGTATATTTTCAAGTTTATACAAAAAATGTTAATGCTGAAGAGTAATAGTTTGTTGTTGCAGTTGTTGTAACCTACAGGGATCTGCTTGTTAAGACATTTGGTCGTCGAATAGCTCCGAGACATAGACCCGATACTGCTTAGTTCATTGCAAGCAACAACATGAAATTGCAATTTAATTACTTCAAAACTACATTCAGAATACAACTGATATACACTGCAAACCATAACGTTCCTAAACTAAGATAACCAAAAGATATCTTGGTAACAAAAATTCTACAAATTCGTCCAAAATTATATTTAACCATTCAAAGTGGTTATGAAGAGTGCAATATATCTGTAGTAATAAAAATTCCAAAAATTCGTCCAAAATTATATTTTACCATTCAAAGTGGTTATGGAGAGTGCAATATATCTGCAGTCAAAATGAAACTAATACGAGGTTAAAGCGAGAAGCGTAAATATTGTAAGAAAGTAAAAGATGCAATTGTTGCATCCTATTGGGTTATTTAAGTATATCCTCAGTATATAGTGAGAAGGATCTCCAGCAATGTTAAAATAGCTAAAACCGTCTGGAAAGCAATAGTAAAACACTAACTCAAAAATTTTCTGAAATATATGACCATAAAGACATGCAACTCTATAATATTTTCTATATATCTGGTTAGCATGTGTTACCTATCAATAAATAGCAATGGTTCCAATGCACTAGGATGCAGTCAAATTTTTCTTAAAATTTGTCAAAACAAATGTGTTTGCAAAAATGTGTTGAGCTACAAAAATACAAACACGCAAACATCTGTTTACGTGGACTGTTCTAATAGATGCGTATACATAAATAACATTCTAGAGCAATATATTAATACTATCCAATGCTTATTTAACATATTTAATTTACCTCTTTGTCTTTTAAGCCCAACAGCAGTACTTCTTCCATAAGTGTTAAGCGCGTTTCTTTAGAATCACCATCGTCAACATTGTCCTCCTGATCTTTATAGCCATCGTTTATACTTTCATTATCATCTGGCGTATTTGCATTGCCTGTGGCTCCACCTTCACCATTGTCGCGCGTCTTAACTGTACGTCTAACCAAGCCATCACTGCGATTCATATTAATCAGATATATGTGCTTTTTCTTTTTAAGTTTATATATTTATTTAAAATTAAGGCCTCTTTAAAAGCACAAATTCGTTCCACTGTGTTTACGCTATGGCTGCTGTTTGCTCTTTAATTCTTCAATTATAAAAACAACAATACACCGTGTTTATTTTTTTTGTGTTATGACTTTTAAAAGTTAACTCAAAAATATTAATAACGACAAAATTTAACATAAATAGGCTTAAATCTTTTATATATGTATATATATATTCAGAATTTCGCTACACTATTTTGCTTTTCCTTCTTTGATTTACTTGGTAATTCTATTTAATTTTCGTTGACTTCTTTTTTTCTGTTTGACGTTCCTTTACGACTAAAAAAGTGACACGAAACAATGCTACGTAAAAGAGATTTATTGACATGAGAATTGACTCTCAAATGTCGCAATTTTTTATTCAAGTGCTGCCAACGCCACAAGTTTTAATTCATGCATATAATGCGAATATTCATACATATACAAATATATATTATGGACATATACTTCTGTTATTTGTTAAAATCAAGAAACAATTTTAAACAATTTAACAGTTCTTTTTATATATATTTGAACACACGTCAATGTAAACAATAAAATGTAAACAAAAATGCGATTTTTAGGGTTAACGTGTTTTGACATACGAAAGTACAATGTGCAAAAGGAACAAAAACGCAATTTATACGATGCTTCAGTAAGCACTTATAACCACCAACTACCTTTTAATATTTTTGAAGAACTATACATATAATTTTTTGTTTAAAACGAAACATATTGATATAGAAATAAAACTTAATTTTTCGATATTATATACTGTATATATTAATGTTAATGTCATTCTGTATTTGCAAATCAAGACTTGATCTGGATCTGTCATTTTTTATTATATTGACACAACATACTGACTGATGTTGAAAAGTCAGTAAAGCTTATGTTATTACTTCAATCATTTCTAACATATATTGTTATATTATTTTAATTTAAATTTTAGTTTTTAATATTCGAGTAAATACAATTTATTAAATATTTAAAATACCAAATACGTTTTAAATGTCATAAAACCAAAAGTAAACTTTATTAAAAATTAGTTAAGAAATGATATAATATGTATTCCGAATGAACAATATTAACTATTTGTTAAAATAATAAATAAATTATATCTGAAAATAATTAATAAATTCTTTCCTGGCAGAACTTTCAGGGAACATTCAAATCAGCTAACATTGTTTGCTTGATGACAGTAGCTAAAAAAATAATCAGCTGTTATTATATCAAATACCAAAAGCTATTACCAGATCCAGACCAAATTCCGTAAATTGTATATGGGATATTCCTAAAATCTTCATTGTTGTTTTATTATTTTGTTTTACTATATTGAGTCAATATTTTTCTTTTGCTATAGAAGCAAAACAATTGGTAGTTTTACTTTATCCATTTTTAAAATGTTTAAAATCAACATTTTTGTTTACCGTTTAACAATAGGCTGATTGGCAGCTACCTTAAAAGTGCTTTTAATTCTTGTATGTAAACGCTCTAAAAACTAATTTAAAAATTAGTTTTAAAAGTGATTTTTAGACTCGCTTAAATGAAGTGTGTAATTTGATATTAGTTATCACATATAATATAATTTAATATAAATAAATTATTAGTATGTGATTATTAAGTGCTTTTAAAACAATGAAGTGTGTAATTCTTAAATACTTACGTTTTTTAATGGTAATTTTATTTTGTTGTTTTGTTGAATTTGACTTTTCTTATGACGAAAAGAAACTACAAAGGTTGGAAAGTTTTTTATATTAATTATCTTTTTAACTTTTAAAATTGCATTGTTTTAGTAATGATTTCATGTTTTTAGTAAAAATTTAATACATATTGATGACATATTGATATCATATAAAAAATTGCAGTCATATTGTTAAAAAAGATATATAAAAAATTCATTGTATAAAGTTAAAACTTAAAAAAATATAGTTACTAATTGTGATATCCAGTATTTATAACGTTTTTCAATATTCACCCATCAACAGCAATACGCTCATTATTGCTCTGATAAATATTATTATTATTATTAATATCAATTATAACTAAATATACAAAAAATATTATATAAATAATAAGATTGATTTCGTGATACAGTTGGATATATTATATGTGTGTAGTGTGTTTATGTATTTATATTATTACCAGCTAACCATTTGGACAGACAACAAATTATTTGATATATTTCCAATATTCTATATTTTATATTAAAATATATATATTGAATATAGGCCTTGATGCTAAATTGCTAAAGTTTAAATGTCGCATCAGCTGTTACTAGCTTGCTTATAATTCATTGTTTGATAGTGATTATAAAAGTTAACTGAAATTTGCTGTTATCACAAAATATGCAGAGTTTGTGTGTCGATTTAGCAATTTAATACTAATACTTTATCATTAGAATAAAATTTGTGAAAAATAAATGTATTTATTTAAAAATTTATTAATGCAAATTCAGAGTTGCATTTTTGTGAGCATATGCTTTTTATATAAAAAGAAATATCTTAAATTGTACATAAATACATCAGAAATTATTTAATATATACTACCAAAATTATTTTTTGTTATCAAGTAAGCGTGATATATTTTTAAAATTTAAAACAAATTTAACATTCAAAATCTTTTAACTGACAGAATTGAAGTAAAGCAACACTACAATTACAAAAAAGTATATTTTATTGGAATGCAACTCATCACTCAAACATTGTGTACGTAATTTAGTAGCGCTCAATTTGCGCACAAGATTTGAATATTTTGTAAAAGTGTTGGTATTGTTTAACGAATTCGGCTTAAATTTATTTATTTTTTTTTTAATTAACATATTTTTCAATATGAATGTTGTTTCGGCATCAAAATCGACCATTTTATCGAGTTTTGATACATTAGAACAGAAAGCGGTTTACAATGAAGCTGGGGATAGCGCCGTCGATTTCCAATTCTATCAAAAGCCTCTTATGGTGCAAATAAATAAAAAATCTGGCATTGAGTTAATTACCATCAAGGGACTTCTTAAGCAAGGTAAATACAAACTATACAATATTATCAAGCTTTATTTTAAGTAATTATTTATTTAAATATTCATAAAATATAATTTGCAAAAAAATTATCAATACGCTTTTGTACAAAAATATGCTGCTAGTGTTAGTAATATTAAACAATGTTTTATTTTGAAAATAAAATTGTTTTTTAAACATAGATAATTTCAAGTTTAAAAGTGCCAAAGTAAGTACGGAGCTTGGTTATTCTGTTTGTTGCTCCAAAACGTCATCGTTCAAATTTGCTGTTGGCACATCAAATGGGCTGGTTAAACTTTATAATCTACGGGAGGATGGGTTTTATCATACATTCAAATCTGGTATGTTGGCTATATACTGAATATTTACTTAAATGATTAATTAAATTCAATGTTGCAGATTACAAAAATTGCGTTACATTCGTGGACTACAATTGTACTGGAGATTACATAGCTGCTGTGATAGAGAATAAACAAATTGACATATATAGTCTTAAAACACAAACTAAAAGTGAGAACTTCACCTTTGACAGCCAGTAAGTTAATTAAAAAAAAAATGATTGATGTAAATTATTAGCTCTATTATGTTTCCTCTCTATTAACTGCGGTATTTCTTCATAACCCATCTTTACGACTTGACTGTATTATCATTTATCAGTTCATCAGACTAAGCAATAACTTTTCTCACATCTGCACATTTCCCCGAGGAGTCTGTAACCATTCTGAGATTCGATAACGCGGTGCGGTGTTGGTAAGCCTGTCAGTTTTCGTAAATAATTTTGATGTCATTCGTCCTAATGTATCTTGGCACCTTGAAAAGCCTTGTCCGTGCTTGGCTTTGTGCAATTTCTAGCTGGCGAATAGTAGTGTTTAAGGCCTTGCTGAACGCTACACACACATATTAAAGTGAAGGTCGAGTTATTTGGTTATATATCACCTTCCTGTTCTTAACATTGAGATTTTCATTTTTGAATAGCGGTTGAATGTGATGAAGAATTTTGGCACAGCTAATTTTTTTCAGTTGAATATGTTTAAGCCATGTGAATCGTTTGTCCATCGTTATGTCTAGATATTTAATGCTATCCTTCCAGTTTATTACAATAAGAAATCACTTTATTTGTATTACTTATATTTGATTGAACAATTAAGTCTAGTCAACTGAATTGTCTAACAATTTAATAATATATAGGTGTGGACATACATACAGCATCTTATTAAAATCTTATTAAAATCTTATTAAATTATTGTAACCCAAACAACCCGTTTGGAGAGGTAAACAATATTTACAACGAGAAACGCTTGGAGATACTCCGTATGAGATAACGCTGGTATTTTTGTATTAACATACCCAAAGAAAAGTTCTAACATATATTATAAAAATAAAATAGAACTTAAATATTTTCTCGAACTTATAATCAAATGTTATAAGATCAGTAATGTACAAAAACAACTTTTTTATCAACGATTAAAAAGTGAAAATATATATTGTGTCGATTAAACCGTAGGAGATGTGACCCGTAGGAGATATAAAAATTATGGTCCTTAATGTTTATAATACAAATTTTGTATATTATATTATACACATCATTAAGTGAGATTTAAATTTATCAATTTTTCCATTTTTAAATTTTATAATGAAATGATTTTTTTTTTTACCTACAGTCCCACTGTTGCTCGCTTTCATCCGAAAAAACGTTCAATCCTAGCTGCAGCATCATTTAAGGGTACAATTATAGTTTATGATACACAAGTTAAACGCAAAACCATACATTGCCTTGATGCACATAAGGCTCCATGTCGGGATTTATCCATTCCCAAAAATGATCCTGACACAATGCTCACAGTTGGATATGATTGCACTATTAATATTTTTGATTTTCGATATAAAAGTCCATCTTCATCGGTAGTATGCTCTCATCCATTATCAACTGTGGCAACAAGTGATTGCGGTAAATTTTTCTGTGTTGGCAGTTTAAAAGGTGAAGTTTCTTGTTACGATATGCGTAACTTTAAAACCCATATTACTTCCAAACTATTGCATGATTCATCCGTGGAACGTGTTGCATTTGTACCACCCGGTAATGAAGTACATAATGATTTCTTTGAGAAAAGTGGTGTAAATTCATCTAGTCCTACAGAAAGTAATGAAAAGTTAAAAGATAATAAGTTTGTTAAACAAGAGAATCCAAAACCAGTTGCAAAACCAAAGCCCAACACAAGTGATTCATTTGCTGATTTTCTGGAATATCAAGTCGATAATAGTTTGGATAAATCGAAAACACCCAGATCACGCCGTGATAGTTTTGATTGGGAAACTCTTGTACGTAGCTCAAACGGAATGGAATGTAGCTTACCTGGTGGTAATAAATTGCCTTTAATTGCCAGTATATCTACACTAACAGAAGATGACTCATCAACTGGTGAAGATATATTAAAAAAAGATGGTAAGTTATTACTAAAGATTTTTTGTTATCCTAATTATAATTGCCTTTTTACTATTCAGCAATTGTTCCTCCTCCTTTGCGTGAAAGAAACATCGACAAAGTAAATATAATGTCAAAACAAGTGAAACAGCTGAAACAAATTGAAGAAGAAGAACTACCTGCTCCGTCGACATCACCAAAAACAGTTAATAACTCAAACTCATCCAGCGATAAGGAAAATAATTCACTTGAAGCTTTTGTATTGGCAAATGAATATCTTTTTATTGAACCAGATACAAAAGAAGTTTCAACACAAACTGAGTATATAACCGCTGATCAATTTGATCAACCAGCGCATCCCATTCAATTTCAAATTGATAATTTACGCAGTGAAATGAATGAACGCTTTAAGGAATTACTATGTGAAAGTAATTGTACTGCTGATACCAACAAATGGCAATATTATACTCAAACTTTCAATCTATGGAAAGAGCAAATGAAAGTCACTGAACGTGTTGATAATAATTTAATTACACTAATGCAGTCCACACCTTTAGTCATGGAGCTTAGACGCTTAAAAACCGAAAATATTGAACTTCAAGAGCAGTTGCAGGAGGCACTTTCGAAGTTGCGGGAAGCATCTTCTTCTGCCAATCTTAAATAAATTGTGTTGCTTGTTTTGATGACTGATATTAATATAAGGTGTCCTTAAAGTTAAATTCTAGCCACAGAATCAAAATTATATATTTGTATGCAAATTGTTTGTAATTGTTGTAATAATAATAAAGATAAAAATATAAAAGTAAAATGTAATTCAATTGATGTATTTAATATAAACTATCTTCAATTTGTTAAAATATTTATCAATAATTTTAAAAATTGAGAAATAAACATTCACTCAACGACTTAATCCTATCTCTTAACTGAAACACATTCAACTTTAAAGAAAATGTGTATCACTTAATTTTTAAATTGAATTAATTTAAGCATTAATTAATATTAATATTATTTAGTGAGCTAGTATTGACAGAGGATCTACAGCTATTGTCATACTTTTATTCAAACAAAAATAGCTTAGGCATAGAATGTATTTAATTTGAATTTAAATTTAAAAAATTTTAGTCGTATGTGTTTTGAATAAAACTATTATTATTTTTAATATATATAGTAAGATATATATGTAATGCAATCCTTTAGTTTTATGAGAAAGCTTAGTCTTTTACACACAACAGAATACTTATATATTAGAGCTTTAAATATTTTTCGAGCTGTTAGAAGCATTCAGCAATTCGATGCTTAAGTAGACTAAGTATTCAAAAATTTGACTCAAGTACAGTGAATTGTTCGAAGTTCGAAATTGTAATGTGAATACAATAAATGCCTATGCGATACCCTTTCTATTTGAGTAAGGAAATCGCACCTTTTCAAATAAATGTCATTCATGTACTAAATATTTGAGACTTTGACCTTTAAGGTTGTTCTTTAGATCAACCGTTAGGATGTACGGACGGCGCCTCATCCGTGGTATGATAATGCGCCATTAGTTATGGTTGAATCCAATGCAAAAAACAGAAATTTTATGTATATGGAAAATCTGTAATGGAAAACATGTATTTGCCTAGGAACATCAGTGGCAGAAAAGTCTTCGACATAACAAGACTCTACCAACAATAAGTCAAGTCAATCTACACTTTATTGATAATGTGCTAAATTCTCATTTATATAGAACCGTCTGTAATGCAGACAATAGGTTAACCACACTTGCTATCCAAATTTTGTATTAGCAACCTTGCAAGGGATTATAAACCAAAACTTAAAAAAAACTATTGCAAAACATTTTCAGGGTAGAATAGAAGATTCCAAGAACGACGATGCCTACATAGTGGAACCACTTGTCGCCAGCAACGACTAAGTGCCGGTCGACACCTCCCAAAAGAACTTCACAAGCAGCACTCAATGGGTTATAAAAACAACAGGGTAGAATATGAAATAGAGGTGGCGATGGGTGCTTGGTCAGCACGATCTTGCCTATAAATCCAGCAAGCTGGTTCTATTTCTTGTCAATTGGATTACATCAAAAACAATTATCTCCTATCTCTTCGATCTTGCTTTTAGTATTCCAAAAACTAAATTAAGTTTTTAAACGTGAAGAAAAATTTTAGACTTAATTAGTGCAGTTTTCAAACGAACACTGTAAAGAATTAAAATGTGAAGTTCAATGAATAAAAATGATTTTATAATTTTTTAATTAAAATTAAATGCTTTATTTTTTATTAGTAATTTACTAATATTTTACACTAACAGTTAAAAAAATATTTTGGTTAAAAGACACATTTTAATAATTTAATTTAATTTTTTTGTAACACTATCTGCTTCGTCTTCTAAAGGTTTCGCCATATCCACCTATAGGTTCGGAATATATTACAGATTCGATGTTTGAATTGTGCAAAATAATATTATTACTCACTGAAATGGTGGTATTAAAGTTGCTATAATCGATAACGTAACGTTCATTCACAACGTCATAATTTATTAAGTTTATAAAGCTTTGACCCCAAAATATTTCCCGCGGCAAATAAGAAGTTCTCGCTTCAGTAACCTGTGCAGTTGTCGGCGAGGTGCCGACAATGGAAACATATAACTCAAATTGAGCCGCATTAAAGTCCTTAGCAGTTTTATAACGATATAAAGGACTGGTTTTATCTATGATATGGCACACAGTTTCCGGCCAAACAATAATTTGATGCCCATTGCCTTCGAGTTTAAGTTCTGTATGAGTTTTGATAAGTTCGCCTTCCCGTGTACTGTTTACAATTATAAACAACGATAATACCATATATGAATAGCTTCACTAAATGATTAAATTTTAAGACTTACGGTCTATCTACTATCATATATAATCGTATTTTTGTATCTATTATCTGCTGTTGACGTAAATCACAAACTCTAAATATAAGACACAAATTTAAATCACGATAACATATCTAAAAAAAAAAAGACAAAACAAAATATTTATTAGGATTACATGTATACTATACTAATAATGTGTATAATCCTATATATGGTATAATATAATATTAATGTTACTCACAACGGCCTTATCGCTAAATTTCAATTTGGTTATTTGCTTAGCTGGTCTAGCTGTTTTGGCATATATAATACTTATCATGCCTCCCTCGATTGCAATCGAACATATAATTTGCACTATGAAAAGGAATATTGTTTCAGGACATTCTTCGCTTGGATATTTTTCACCAAAACCGATTGTTGTTTGTGTTTCAATAGAATATATAAGCATTGAGGTAAAGTCATAAACACCGACAATGCAAGGCGCCGTGCCCTCGCCCAAACGTTGTCCAGTTTCGGCATCGAACAATAAATCTCCATGAGAAATTGCAACCATATAACAAAGTCCAGCAAAAAAGAACCAAGTGAAGAAATAGCTACCCAAAAACATGGTAAGCATATACTTCCAATCAAGCTCTATCTGAAAAAGAACAATCACAAAAATAACACAAAAATAATTTTTATTATTATATTTTGCAGAATTATGTTAAAAAAAATATATATTTACTGGCATGATGTAGGTAGATATTGTTTATATTATATAAAGTGAACTCAACAAAATTCTAAGTAATTGTATTATGAATCAGATACAAAGTTGTATTATATTGGAATATGGGAGTAGAAAAAAAAGAACATGCTTATATGTAATAACTGTGCAATTAACGAGGCATAAAACACTGTCCAGTCTAATATTTCAAAACATTATTTTACGTTTACGTAAAATAAGTTTAGATTACAGAGTCTATAGACTGCAACAACTATAACCTAGTAGATCTACTACATCAGTTTATACCTCAATTATCTCTCAGTCAAGTAAATGACGGGCACTACAATTAATTTTAATTGTCTATAGAACGGTTCTTAAAAAGAAGCCATAACCTTTCCTGTTAATAGAATTGTCTTCATCTTTTTTAGAGTGCATTCATTTATATAAGTACTTTCCGAAGTATATACTGGTACCCGTCTTATCTACAATTATCAATCGATGCAATTACTTTTGGATAACACTGAAATTTTTATAAACACAGCCTAGAAGTAATCTCATTGTTATGTTTTAAATCCACTATGGTAAGACTTGGCACCGAACTTGCTGCCCACTTGTAAATGCTTTAGTATGTTACGGATATATTCCTTTGCAATTTTCGCAACATTATGAATTTCTTGCATCTTTATTCGTCAATATTCCAACACTAGTTGATGAATTTTACACATCATATTCGGGCGTCCTAACCGCTAAGCATCTACGATACTAATCAATCACTATTGAATTAGTTGGAATACCAAAGAAAGAATTCTTTCTTTAAGAATTAAATTCTTAAAGAATTTCAAGTACGATTGAATGTTTCGTATGAAAATCACAAAATGGGTAACAGTTAAGGATACAATATAGTCATTATAGTAATTGTGGTTAAAAAACTAACATAGATGACACTAAAATACAATAATGAAAAATATAAGAAAACACTATTTAATACACCTAATGCATTACAATACTATTTATCAGCTGCAAAAAAAACCAAAACCATAATTATCCAATTTGATTATCATATAATTATGGTGCACAATAGATCAAACTGATCGCAGTGCCTTACCCGAAACCCTCAATCATATAATTATAAGTATTCTATATACTAAATATACCGGGCTTGCCCACTACCCAAAAATGTACATCAAAGTGAACCTCAATTATACGTAAAAAAACCGTAAAAGTGTATGGATTATTAAAACCTAAACTTAACAATGGTTGAACCTATACATCGCCTTTGACAATGGCTGTGCTCTATTTATATGAAGTACTTAAAGGGACGAATAAACTTTTATAGAATTATATTCCTGTGGATATATTCATCCTTTCTACATTTTCTTTGTTAAATTCAGCTAATATTATAGACAATAAAAAATCAATTGATATCGCTAGTAAGGTAGAAAAATGGGTTACATATTAACATATTAACTCATCGATTAAAAATCATAAAAATCCAGGTTAACAGTGTATTCCGGTAGTAATGGAATGCAGTGGAATTTATCATGAAAATTAAACAAATAATAAATATAGTTTTACTAGAGTTTATAAAGAAATTAATTATCACTATATGCCGTTTTCTAACAGGACATCATATGTATTGGTTCCAAGAACAGCCGGGTCTACGTCTAAGAGCTACTCATCAACTACAACGACCAAGTACCTGGCACCATCTCTCAAAGAGATTTTACTAGCAGATCTTTACGGGTTACCACGACGACAACACTACATGTGTCCTCATTATACCACAATTTAACAATATATCTGATTCATCAACTTTTACTATGATCTAATGGTATGCTTTCTGGAAAACTGAAATCATAAACAACACAGAAGCAAGTGTCTAACTCTGCCAAAAAAGCATAAGGGAATAAGAAGACTGTTAAGTAATGGCAGATTATTTAAGTCAGCAAAACTACAGCACATTTAAAAGTTTAGGTACTATATGTCTATGGCTCGAATCAAAATCCGAATCGGCACAGGAAGACCAAAAAATAAAACATAGATATACATTTGAATAGATATAGCACTTACTAATGTTGTAACGAAATCACGTATATAACGCCACGATTTCTGTGGCACTTTCCGATAGCTGACATTTTCCCGTCCATTCTTCCCAATCACACGATTCACTCGTTTTCGCAATGTCGGCGGCGTTTCTTGGCTATCTGTGAAAAGCAAATAAAGAGCATTGAGTGTTTAATTGGAATATATAAATTGCATACACAAAAGCTTACCTTTATTAATTTCATCATTATTGAGCTCTATAGTACTACCGACCCAATCAAAACTAAATGGCAAGCTAGCACAAGATAAATTATTTTAAATATTCAATTAAATCTTTGAAAAAAACATAAAAATATTAAATAGATACGTTGTTTTAGATCAGGAGCGTAATAGTTTAAAAAGGTATTGATATCAAATTTGTTATTTAATTTGAGGTGAATGTAAACACTATGAAAAAAAACCATTTCAACGATTTTTAACAAATTTATTACTAAAATAAGAGCTCTTATTTAAGACTGCTAGAGTCCTTAATTAAAAAACTTGAACATGAAGTTATACATAATTGTAAAATAATTGCAGAATGGGTGCAGTCCATTTACTTATTCAGGAACTTTTATTTCAGACAATTAGGTTTCAGTGCGCTGATCTAGTTAAAAACATAAGTGGTGTAGCAGATATATATTATATACAATACTAGACCAAACTTCTATTAAAAATGGAATTCAATCTAAATTCATTTTAATCAATTACACTATAAACTATTAAACACCGTATAGAAGAAAAACGTGCATAGTGTTAACATGACATTAACTGCATTCATTTATAACATTAACTTCATAATGGAAAATAACTAAACTTTATGCCTATGCCTCACCAGCATTAATCAACTTATTACAGACATATATTATCGAACGAATCTATAACGTTCACATTTTCCGTTCTGCCAAAATATCGCCAAAATTGTTTCATGACTCGAACTACAAAATCAATTGGTTACTCTAATGCCAAACATTATTAAAACAAATCTTGTCAAAATTTTTTATCTTCTCCATCTCCAGCGCTAACCATTCACAGTTATAAACACTTTAGATTGCGATTTAAGTCCTTCACTTTCACATTCACACAAGATATATATCAAATATATATCTTATATTTAATATTAGAAATGAGGCCAAGGTTCGCACTGGACTGTAGTGCCAAATAAGAAGAAGAAAATTTATTATTGGAAAAAAATATCACTTACCGCATTTTGTAACATCTTTTATTTTATGCCAGGAAAGAATCTCCTAAGCTAACTTAGACAAAGTAAGACAACTGATAAGTCGAACTATATTTCTTGGTTTAAAATTTCGAACTAATTCGAATAATAAAAGTCAGATAGTTAAAATAGATACGTTTTCTAGTAGCCGTAGCACACAAGCACAAAACATGGTATCGTTATGGATCTATCAGAAGTATCAATAACCATTGTCAAACCATTTTGCTTAACTACCCAACATAGGCATGTTCAGTTAAGTAGTCCACCATTATGCTGAGTTCAGATACATTTAGACTGAGAAATCTGTCAGCATTTTTGTTATTAACCTAAGGGTACTACATAGATTAGAGACAACTGACTAATCTGAGTTCAATTATATTTAGACTAAGAAACCGGTCAACGAGTTTGATTACAGGCTATTATCGTCTGAAACATCACCTTCATAAACTACAATTATCTGCTGATTCGGAAAGCAGATTATGCCTCGAAACTACCATGCATATGCTTTGTGACTGTTCAGCTTTAATAACGCTCACAAGAAACTTGTTTCATATGGAATTTCTGTCACCAGAACAGATTAAGAGCTCATCTTTAGATTTAGTTCTGGACTTTGTTCAGAAAGCGTTAAAGGGCTAAAGGGGTAGTCTGAGTTCATTTATATTTAAACTAAATAAACTGTCAGCATTTTTGTTATTAACCTGAGGGTACTACATTGATTAGAGACTACTGATTAATCTAAGTTCAGTGATATTTTGACTAAGAAACCTGTCACTATTTTTGTTGTTGACCCGACTGAATCTCAGCTTTTTGGCGTCGAAGCATGACATCACAAACCATTTATATTTGATATTTATAAGTACAGATGTAGTCTAAAATATGAATATTTCACAGAAAATCTTGGATGTTCTTAAGGGAGTTGAAGTACTCTGCTTCAAAAACTTGTCACCTGTCCCTAGTCGTCGAGTTTCTCATAATGTGATTTCCCAACGAATGTTGCTTTATATGTTTTTATGTATATTTCTATATAAAACTTTGTTATAAATTCACACATTTAAATTTTTTCACTTAACTCTATTTAAGTGTTACTATGTAATTCAGAATAGATCAGAATATAATTTAACATTACAAAATTTGAACAGTGCTTCACATATCTACTTCAATCAACAACCAAAACTCACTTGCTCATAACTCCAACGGAATCATCATTGTTCTCACTATTCCCATGATTTTCAGATGTGTTTTTATTTCGAAAACTTGGATTTTCGGGATAAAAACCGTCATCGTATACCACTTCTTTCTTGTCCGCACGTCGTAGAGGTGGCGGCTCAAGATGTTTCGGCTTAACTGGCATTGATATCGACCGTTGCATCTGTATCACTTCTTCTGTAGTCATGTCGGTAAAATTTGCGTTACCTTAGATACAAATCGTGCCAAAACAATATTGTAACAATGGACCAACAAATAATTTACACTCAACAAAACGGAAAAATTTTTATTTTCTTTAATACGATACGCTACTATAGATTTAAACTATATCAACTATAGTTACATTTATTTGATCAATTTTCTAAGCAACTGTGCTATCACGCCGAACAAATTGTAATAACTAAGTTTTATAATTTCTCTGTGATACTAACGTGACTTGCCTACTTAACTGCTTAGTTTATACAGTAGCTTCAGCTGTAAATAATATTATCTTGTGAGATATATTAAATTTTATGACTATAATGCCATGTACTCGTTCGTTCATACAAATGATACAGATATGCACAGATTCTTCAAAACGTACATACAAGTAGATACATTTTTATTTATTTTACTTTATTATTATAATTTTTGCTTTAGTTGATATTGTCAAAAGAATTCTTTGTATCTTAAGAATAATAAATTATAGTCAAACTGCTCAGTAAGAAGGTTTAATTCTATAATAATGAAAATAAAACAAATTGCTGGAACTGAAACATATGTGCAGCAAGTACTAGTCCGTCTGTGCTAAAGACGAACATTTTCGTTGTAGGCCGCTGTAGGCGAAAAGTACGGTGCAGTAAGTAATTAACTTATATATCATTGAATTAAGAAACAATTTAGCATTTAAAAAGTTAAATAATTTCTACACGCAACATACGCTAACCCTCATTTGAAAAAGTGATACGCTTTATCAGCTCGTAAATACCGGAATTAAACTTCAATTTAAGCTTGAACATGCACAGATTCAATTTAAGTGATTCATATGAATATTGTACAGAGAGCTGAAATAAACTGCAGAGTCTTGTCTTCATAAAAATGTTCTAATATTACGAATTTCTAAAGCTATTACAATTCCACAGACATTCAGTGCAAGTCATACTTTTAAACTAGACAAATTAGGACTAAAACAAACTTATCTGCTAGTCTAATGTCATTGATCAATTGATTAATGAACTATATAGTTATTGTTTTTGTTGGAGACCACTGGAATTTATAAAGCAGATAACATGGGTTTGGTTGCGGATAGGTGGTGGTTGAAAACACATATAGACAACAAATGTCAAATACAAACACAATACCTGCTTATAAAGTCCCATTAGAGGGTGATAAACTACATTTGATGAGAGTGGCTCCGGGTCAATCGCATCAATTCCTACAAAACAACGTTGCCTTCTGAAAATGTTTTAAAAACTGTTGTCTGGATTTTAAATTTCTTGACTATAGAAAATATATAAATATGGATGAGTGCATATATATTTTTAATTTCTAAAATATAAATATATATGTAATATATATACAAATATATATAATATACATATAAATTATTATATTATATATTATTATAAATTATAAACATATTAATGATATAACAATGCCCTACGATAAAGATTATTGACGATCAACATTAACGCCAAAGTGCCATCAACTACTACTAAAAGCGCGTTTGATACTACGTTGTGGAGCTAAACGTTTTTTCAAACGACTAAGCGCTACTAAACTCTCCGAAGTGCAATTTAAAATGTGAGTTTACCTTATAATTTAACAGAACAACTAGTTTTATTGGAATTTCAGAGTTCAGGAGCTCAAAATTAGATCTAGAAAGTAAGATAACTGCGTAGGTTCCTATTATAACTAAAAGAAGCAAAAAAGTGGACTTCCCAAGGATTGGCAAAACTTCAAATTGGCAAATAACAACAATAGCATAAGACAACTAATTTTTCTGTTGCAGTTCAGGAACTTAAGTTTTTAGTGAATAAGTCTTTGAATTATACAATTATTAAGATGTGAGCTTAATAAGGATATGAAAAATTTTATATATTGAAATCGAAAGCAAATTATTTGTGATTAAACAGTTTTGTACATGTTATAAAATATATTATATAGTATTTTCATAATTTTAGTTTGCATAAAATTTTCTCTTACTTTTTCGAAAGAAAGATCATGAAGTTGGTTTGTTAGCACACACTTTAATATTCATTATATTGTGGTAGAACACATCAAATAAAATGAACCATCTCAAGGCGTTGAAATGACAAGATTCTCTCACTGCAGCTTGCCATTTTGTGCAGATTTAGTTATCCATATATGTGCTTGCTTTCTGAATCCCACTGGGCTACAATAATATCATAGTATCTTATCTTATTTACTACAAAAACTTGTAGCATATTCTACAATATAAATATATATATATTTAGTTTTAAACACTTAAACTAAATTATAATAATTACTTATTATTTTTCTTTGTAGATGTATGCAAGTTTTCGCAGTCCAGACATATGCCTTCCTCTATTTCAAGATTTGAAGCAAAAATCAGATAATATGTAAATGTGTGTATATGTCGCCAATATGTTGTACTTCCCAGAGCCACTGGTCTTTGTAGACGACTTGATGACACTCGCACATTTCAACAGGGACATCAGGTTTCTATGGATTACAATAATAAGAACATAATGAACTGTTTAAGTTTTATTATCAAACAATCAATATCACTCTTTAATATATTTAATTATTGTAGATTTATTTGTTTAAAAAAAAGGTATTTATATATTATTCATATATATATATAAACTTAATCTAGTAAATTCAAAACTCGTAGAGATGCTTAAGATCACGTGACTGAAAAATCGGATCCAAGATATACTGTTTACTGTAAACTTATAACGTTTACTATAGATAAAAATCGGTTATACTTCTAATAATAGATAATAGAAATATGCTTTAGATGAAATAGAAAACAAAGTTTTCAAATAATAAACAAATATTTTTTTGAAAACTTTTGACGCCAGTTTTCAAGTTCCTAATATATCAACTTAATACATATTATCAAAATATAAAGAGATGTAATAAAATTAGGCAAATTTATTAAATATTTTTTAAAAGGATCACTTATTTAATTTTAATGAATAACATTCATAAAAAATTGAGAAAATCTAATTAGCAGTTGGTAATATTTTTAATAATAAATTATTAAGTGTTTCCCTTTTAAGCGTATGCATCCTGGTTTTTAGTAAATATAGTGTTAATAATGATATAATAATTCCTTGACAAATAGATACAAAAATTAAAGCCATCTTTATTATTCAAAACAAAATAAAATTAATATATACATCAGAATATATGCATGTATAAAATTACAATTCTCATTTTATTTAAATCACAGAACTTATAAGATACACAAAAGTGATTGTAATAGTTGATAATAATAATTTTAATACGAATTTGTAATTTGTTTCTTTTACGGTTACCGTATTTAATGCGTTTCATCACATTGTATGTGTTTTTTACTGTGTTGATTATGATATAAAGAGCATTTAGAAAATAGATGGACATTGTAACTATCTTTATTATTCCAATTGTGACTCGATCGAACATTGTTGCATGAGGTTGGGTGGATTTATTATAAATCCACCAGCAAAATAAAGTGGGTATTTCGTTTGTATGAGCGTGGCACTTCTTTGTACTATAGATTCTTTGCTTTGAGTGAGTTGCTAGCACCAACAGTTCACTGTTATCTTAATGTTCTATTGGGAGTCTTAATTTCTATGCTACTCTTTCAGTAAAAAAATTAAATTATTTATATGTGTTGTATTTCCAATTTCATAATTACAATATTATATAGTAAATCGATTTCGAGCATACGAAGAAATGATGAAATAAACCTAAGAACTAAGAAATAAAGTTAAATAAAAAACAGGTAGACAGACAGACTGACATTGCTAGATTTACTATGATCTCTTAAGTTCTTAAAGAATTCTGCTTGGTTTACCTTTTGCAAACGATAGAAATCCTGAACGCTACTTATACTCATTAACTGACAGACGTAAGTAAAAGTCTTGGAAATGTAGATTTATTCGTCACGCTGAACTTGTTTAGAATAAATTTATTTTATGGGGTTTTCACAGCTGTAGCATAGTGAGAAGATCTCTTGACTGCAGTAGAAAAAGGGAGCCAGAAAATATATACAGTAGATGTTCAATTTAGTGCATTATTTTTTATACAGTTTATTTATTAAATAAAAATATCCTTTAAATTTTATTATGACATTGTTATATAGAATAATGCTTAACAAATTTATGCTCTTCTGTGCTTAAGTGAAAATGTTGATTTTTTAAGTGATTACATGCAAAAATATTTACATTATATTAAATAATTTAAATAATAGACTTTGTAAACGAATAATTAACATATTATAAACACCTTTTCATTAAAAGCGAACTCATTTAAAAAGGTTTTAGAAGTTACATTTATTGCAATCATATTTATATTAATTAAATTTATGCAACATAAATCACAAAAAGAAAAAGAAACAATTTACATGATTTAATACAAATATAAGCCATCTTTAAACATCACTTATAATCTTTAATTAAAATGAGTTGTAATAGTTCTGCATTAAACGAATTTAACTGCATTTTAGTAAATTACAATAACACAGTCTTTTTCAATAAACTCTATAAAAAATAAACAAATGGTAAGCAAAACAAATATTTGCGGCTGTCAAAATATGGTGCTGCCATATTGCTTATTTCAATTCGTATAAAAATATGGAAAAGAAAGAAGTTTAAGTTTGTACAGTTCTTAGAAATTAATTCTATTTATTATAAATTAATATCTGTTTTAAATTTAAATAAATTTATTATTGCAAATTTTACGATTAATTTGTTGCTATATGTTTTTCTATTAGTTTCGGATACAAATAATTAATATAATATAGTGCGTTGACTATGATGGCTGAAACACAAAATGCAAACATATCATAAATTTTTTTTCACCACATTTTCGAACGATTTATTTTCTCAAATTTAAATAATCTGAACAACTTTTTTGCCATCCAGGGATGTTAAGCTCAATCAGATGCTCTCATTTATTCTCTGTGAGATTTGAACTCAATATAACTACATTTTAGGAATACAAAATAGACAAATTTCAGCCATTGCACTGTGAATGTCAAAAGCTGAAACTCAATTCCAGTAATCAAGTTAGAAGACAAGCACAAGGCACTGGTTACACTTTGGACAAATTTTTCCATATACTCATTTTTTCACTAACATATACAAATTTTATTTGGAGACATTCTAAAAGATTATGTATTTGTCACACGTATAAAGTTTTGGCACAATTTAACAGTGTATATGCTCAGTAATGTCTCACATAGTGGATTTCAATGCT